TGAAGGGGGTAAAAAAGGCGAGAAGGAAGTTCCAGAGCCAGTTGGATGCTGTGGCGAGCGACATGGCGCGGGCACGGAATTCGGAGGGATACAGCTCTGCGATAATGGTCCACACCATGGGACCCCATGTTGATGCGAAACCTTTGTAGCGGTTAGCAACTGGACTAGAGTGGGGAAATGTCTCTGATGACATACCAAGAATAAACAGGCAGGCAAAGACAACCATGACCACACCTGCTGTGTGGGTCCGTTCGGGGTTTTCGTGGTCGAGGGAGAAGTGGCCCACTGAGGCGAAAACCATAAAGCAGACAAACATCCACAATGCTCCTGTTATCAGGGATCGTCGACGACCATAGTTCTCAATCAAATACAGCCCTAGGAATGTTGTTCCGAAATTTACACCGCCTAGGATCATTTGTGTAACGTAGGAATTCGAAATACCGGCGCCTCGGAAAATCGTAGTTCCGTAGTAGAAGAAATAATTCGCACCAGTTAACTGTTGCAGTGCTTGAAGGGCGACTCCAACTGCGACGCGATATGTCATGCGGGGTGCATGGAATAGATGGGACCAGGTTATCTGTCCGCGTTCCTTTTCCTCCACGAATTTCTGCCGGATTTCGTCGATCTCGAGCTTCAGCATTCGGTGATTTTCAGGAATCCCGTACATTTTCGAGAGGGTACGGGCTGCTTTAGCCTCCTTTCCATGACGATAGTCGTATCGGGCACTTTCTGGGAATAGTGCGATTCCGAGGCCCAGGATGATGGCCCAAATGTAAGTGACGCCCATGGGAATACGCCAGGATCCAGTGTCATTCCGGGCTTCTGTTCCGAAGTTGATACAATTGGCGACGAAAATTCCAAGTGTGATGAAAAGCTGATAGGTGCTGTTGACGTTAGCTTCCATCTATTATAGTAATACAACAAGTTCGTAGGCATACCTAACAAGTGATCCACGAATGTGCCTGGGTCCAGTTTCTGCTTGATACATGGGAACAAGCAATGATAGAGCCCCAACGCCGAGACCAGCTACCCAACGACCCATGGCGACCTGGTACCACTTGCCGAATGGAGAAGAGATTTGTATGGTGATACCAACACACACCATGGCACTCCAGCCGCTGATGGACCATTTCCGGCCAATGCGATCTGCGATCGGAGCAGCAATAAGAGCGCCGATCAAGGTACCGATTGATAGCTGCGCTTATCAGCAAATTTGAACTTGGGTCAAGCTGTCCATGCGTGTCTTACCAGCGCGACGATCAGACCCGAACGGGCATTGGAGAAATAGTATGTTCCGTCAGCATGCTGTTGTCCGTACCTTTGGAGAAAGTTCGGCATCTCCAAGAAGCCTGAAATTTGGCCAGTGTCGTAGCCAAAAAGAAAACCACCCATTGACACGAAAATACCCATTAAGAAAGAGCGCCACGTGAGCAGAGGGATAGGTGTATCCACTGTCCCCTCTTCAGATTTCTGGCCATTGGGGCCGGTGGCTTGCGCCTCTTGCTGCAACACATCACCATTGAATTCGTCTTGCGGCCTCTTACGAGGCATTTTGACCTTTGGCAATCTCATATTTGTCAGGTAAAGTAGGTGTCGAATTTTCAGACCGTAATGGCACAGTCTCCCTGCGGTACTGAGCTGTGAGAGTCAGGCATGAAGCTCCAAATATATAGACCAAGGGAGGATTGTCAGCAATTCCGCATGATGGGTCCGTGATGTCATCAATTAGACTGGACTCGCTTGCTTCTTTGTCTGGTTGTCTGACAGGCGAAAAGGAACTCGTCTCCAATACTTTGTTCGGACAAGGGTACGCCGGCATGAGTGTTCAACTGCTCACGTGGTGGTCCTGAACTCTGGCCCATGGGACCCCGCATCAGCCACTGATGTTCTGACATGGGCCGAGATTGTAACTCTGGGGCTCGGGAAATTCGGTCATACCGAACATGTCATGCTACATGCATTTTGATGGGGAAGACTGATCTCCGGTAGGGATCCGGGGAAAGTCAATTCTTATGTCATCACTCAGAGGGGAAATTACCCCGGCACATATGACAGGTTGACTTGCAACAATCCAATGGCAGCTGTGTGAATGCCACCTGGGTTCCATGGCTCAGAATCGGTCCGCCAAAGCTCGGGATCTGGGGTCTTGGCCTACGTCTGAAGCCTTCCCCGCGCGTTTCGGTACATATTGATTCTCGTCATATGTCCTTTGACCGACGAACCATCGGTAACATGCTTTAATGGCCCCGTACCTCTTGCGGCATTCTGAATGGCATGATCGGTATTTGGGTTGAACAGCGTTGCACTGGCCACTGCAAGGGCGACCTCACAGCCGGAGTCCCCGCCGGGTTTGATCATGATTTGCGCCTCATCTTAGGAGGGGGGTGTAGGGGTTTGTATGTCATCTTCGGCTGGGTACTTATGGTGGATGATTGTCATCGGTGGGATGCTGACACGGGGTCAGCAACTCGGGTTGCTTGTGCTCAGGGCGGTTGATTGCTCCGCAATGCCATAATATCTGCACGCCGCGGCGCCTGCTATCATCTTAGCTGAAGATTGGTCGGAATCCGACAGAAGTAAATCAGAAGTCAAGGTACTGTAGTATTAGCTCGGACAATTCTTATTTGACAAACAGATTTAACATCATGACATCTGGACTGCCATTATTCCCAAGAAGGATGCCAGGAGCTGGTGACTGAAATGAGCTGGTGAAGTTAAAACGCGGCGACGCGTCGGTCCCGTCCGACATCACCTGATTGGTAGGAAGTAGCAATACTCGGGCTCCTACACGGCACTTTCCGTTTGCAGTCAACGTAAAGGGAAACTTGTATATTGCTTATAACACGGATTAACAGCCACAAATGGTATTGTAGCATGAATCAAGCGTACTGGCACTGCGAAAGGTCCCTAATATATGGGAGAACACAACCTGGGCTAGGGGATGATCGTAGTGGCCTTTCTTATCTGAGGAAGTGTTAGCCATGGGTATTCTGAGTGTGTTCACAGAGAATTCTAATCTCTTACCAGATACCACCCTAGCGGTACTATATCCGGAGGATAGTACACTCCTAAAGCGCACAGGATCTGCTGCTAGAGGCAACAGAATCGGGCGGTAAAGAGGCATGGGCAGGTGAGAGAGTAAAAACACTATACCGGGAGAGGTAAACAACGTATTAATAGAATATAAACAGGGCATAATCATGTATGGCAGTGAGCAATTGACCAATGAGAAAAATAGCATGAAGAAGTGCGAAATCCATGGGAAGGCAACATCCGGCCTATACTACTATGAAATGTCGCCGCAATATATAATAGGTGAATCAAAGCGGGTCATCGGTAGTAAAGTGACTAATGAACATCAACTGATCGCAGGTACAACTAACTAGAGAACTACAAGAGGTCAAGATGACGAAAGTATGCTGATTAATATTCTTTGCACTTACTTTATGTTCATTCCAATGGTCTCTGGCTTGACTAAGAGGCGAGTTTTTAAATACAGATCATATTCTGAAGGTGAGAGTTAGTAATAACTGGCTTATGTAACCAAAACAATTTCTGTCCTTCAACAAGGAACGGGGCTGTGGTTTAGTGGTATAATATTCCCTTAGCATGGGAGAGGTCCGGGGTTCGATTCCCCGCAGCTCCAACCTTCTTTTTTTCTTTTCTTTTCTTTGTTTTTTTCCCCTTTCATATTGACTCACACACCTTTGTTGCGCCCTTCCGTCCGGTCGGACATGTCCACCTATTTATTTTAACTATTTAATCGTATCACATAGCATTGCCCGACCATCAACACCATCATACCTAGGAAATCTTTATTCTTACAGCCTAAATCGACGGGCTTAGTCGAAGTTGTCTCCTCAATTCCAACGACAAGCTTCCGACCGGGGTACCAAAACCCCGAGCGCCGTTTTACCATGAGGATATGCCAATTACCCGAGTCCATGGAAGTATCAAGCACACTCTTTGGTACGCTAACAAAGTAAGGATAAGCTTTCCTGAATGCTACTAACCACGTCTCACCTGCTTGTAGTAAAGATAGACGATAGCTGGTGCTGCCAATAGTGGGTTCTTTCATGCTGAGTTCACGCTCACTCGAACGATGGCCTATGGATCCTGCCGTGGACAGCTCGCTCATACCCTCTGTTACTCTGGGATTATCTCTGCTTGGATAGTAGGTAGCTAGAGTGGCACTCGCACTAAGTAGCTGGATATATTATCCCGTATAACTCCCGTGGAAATTAAACCTGTTTACCGGGGTAACGTACTACTAGTTATATGGTCGATCGTATGAAGACTAGTCGGTATATTGCAATACTGCCTGCAATCATCGAGAGAACATCTCACAATTGGAAAAAAGCTATATATTCAATGTGCGTTTAAATTTCTTGATTGTGTCAACTAGCGAGACTAATATCTATGTATGTTCATTCAGAAAGGTTCCGTCCAGGAAACATTGAGTGGTGTGATTTTATGCAGTCACCTCATCAATTACATAAAATCGGAGGAGAAGACATCCTCAAACCGTCGGTTGACTTATTCCTCAACACCATGAAACAAGCGCAGCATGCCTTTGGCAGCGTGCGCTCCAAGAGCATCTAGACTCCCCATTCCCATCATTTCGAGCACACTGATATCGAACCCGAAAACCGACTTCCACCACTGTCTCAACTCAATAGCAACGAGGGTATCCAACCCGAGATCCGACAGAGAGGATGGTGTTTGCAACTCTTCCTCTAGCTTCAACATAGATCGCACACCTTCCTTCCGATCTCTCGAGCAAGGAACTGAGCAGACTCGGACTGACCCAGTAAATCAGCGTCCCCCTTCGCCTTAGTGATGAAGGACTGCAGATCGTCGCTGGAGAACCCAGCTGCTGTAGAATTGGAATCTTCATTATTACGAAAGCCCGCCATGCGAATATCACCCTTTTCCCCTGGGTTATTCAAGCACATGTTGGACCGGATACCGAGATAGAAGTTCCCCGATATCGAATTCACGGCTGCCTCGACGGCTTCAAGAAGCTCCTGCTCGGAGATAGCGTCCTCTGAGCCACCAGTATGGGCAAACCATTGCATGACCCCCTCATTCTCTGCTACATATCCCACTTCTTCAACGGCACCTATATGAATGGCGCAGGCCGGAAGCTCCAGGTTGGAGCGGTACTGAGCAAAGGCGTCCATGAAGGTATTGGCACCTGCATAGTCAGTCTGGCCAGGCTGTCCAGAAATACCAGACAGGGAGCTGAACATAACGTAGAAGTCAGGGTCTGCGTTAATGGACGCGGAGGCCTGGTGAAGGTTCCATGTTCCCTTAACCTTGGGATCAACAGCAGTATCCCACTCGCTCTTCGTCATGCGCGGGAAACTCTGATCACGGAGAACGATAGACATCTGAAAGATGCCCTTAAGGTGTCCATGAGCCTGTTTCATGGCCTTGGTGACATCATCCAAGTTCGAAACGGTTCCTTGGACAAAGTCTGCGCGACACCCATGCTGGCAAGCTTTTGAGAAAACTCCAAGTGCACATCGGTAGTTCCTGCGCTACGAGAAAGGTAAATGAGGTGACAAGCACCTCGTTCGACCATCCATGTAGAAATAGAGCGACTCAAGCCTCCCACGCCACCAACAAGTAAATAAGAACCAAAGCTATCGAACTGAGTGACCTTCGTTTGGTGCACCACGCTCTCGTTCAGAGTGACCTGGCCAGCTATATGGCGCATTGACACGACAATCTTGCCCAGATGGATACCCTGCTGCATGTACCGAAATGCGTCCAGAATGTGACTTGAGTCCAAGGTTCCGATGGGTCTAATGGGACGTATGTGACCGCTTTCGAGTAGTTTGACGAGTTCTTGGAGCAGCCTGCACGAGGTTTAATTATTACCGACACACGTAGCCCAGTACTGAGCACTTACTCCTTGGAGAGAAGCTCAATGTCTGATTTGATCTATTGCTGGATCCCCAATTCTCTCATATACGAACTTGTACTGCAAATGCTACGATGCCGCCTCTTAGTGCAGCAGTGCCAGTTATTTGAACCATAAACTAGATGGAATTCAACCTTGACAAACCAAAGAGACTTAATACAAAGCGCCAGACATTTAAGACCACTTTCGAGGCCAATGGACGCCCGAAGCCGGGGTTGGGGCATGAGAGGGAATTATGAGAAGACATTGGAGCGCCCGCAAAGATTAACAGCGGCAAAGATGATGAACAAAAGATGACTTCTTACGTATTATTGGATTACAGTGTTATCCCATAAGCAGCACGACGGTCAAGGTCTATTTATAGCTTCCGCATACGAGGCTACTGTTACTACTAAGCGCTGAAGGGGAACGATAGGAAAGCGGGGTACGACCAAAGACTGGTGTGCGATTGAACGACGCAAGCAGGTCAAGAAGTGGTCCTTTAAGAGTGGATAGTGTGGAGGAAGTAGAAGCGACGATGCCGGGTTATGCGACCGTAAGTAGAGATCAACAATAAATTGAGCGGGGTGATGCTCTATACTAGATAATTTATAGTTGGTTGGGTGGTGATCCAGTCACGGCCGGATCAACGTACGAACGTAGCCTTCTATTGTGCTGACGTCTATTCCACAAAGTTCATGATTAGATAGCTATTTCAGATGCTCGACAAAGCAGCAGCTATCAGCTGTCTCAAGTCTTAGTTTGAATCAGCGGCACTTTAGTCTTTTATCATCACAATCATAATGGAAGTTACGGAGTTCAGGCTCAACTATCATCTGGGCATGGGAGAAGGCGGGGACAAAATAAGATACAGTGTCTGCCAATTGCTTATTGACAATCGTGTCCCGCACACCATATGGTTTGAAGATGCTCTTGTCCACTTCGATGTTCCTACTGCTGTTTTTGACCTTTATATCCTAGTTGAGGGTGTCGATGTGGCTGCCAATATTCTTGCTACGGCTGGGTGGCATTTCGATATGCAAGCACCACATCTCATTGGGAATGCGGAGGTGGATTTGTTGGACTTTCCTCAACAGCGATTAATATCCCCGGACGGCGAGACGAGAACGGTTCTCCTTCCCGCGACAGACTGGAAGTTTCCTCTAACGTCCAACACCCGATTGGAATTTGTGCCTTTAAAAGTCATGCCGTCGCTCAAGGTGCCATTTCCACCATTGGCAGGTTTCTTGGATGCGCTAATCGATAGCTGGCTCGACTGTCCCAGCAATGATGCGATGCTATTACTTGTTCTGGCTTGCCAGATCTCCTATCTCTACACGCATGCTCCGGCTTTAAAACAGAAGTCTTTCGCCGAAGAAATGAAATACGAGCACCGCCAGTTTCACTTCGACGTGTTAGCAGGTATGGAGACTGGGACGTTGCAATTTCGACAGCACCAGCGTGATATTCGGGATGCTTTATTACGCGGCCAGTATACATTGCGGGATTGCTCCGCTTCCCGTGACAATAAAGATTAGTTCGACCCCTTTGGAGGGATCACATTTGAATGAGTTGGGAAGGAGGAGCATGATGAGGATTCTCACGAGTCCCACATAGATTGACTTCTAAGGGGTCTATTACTGTCAAGCATGTATCAATGGCCATAATCCAATATTCATATTGGCCTGATTTCCTTGGTTTCCTGAGGTTCGTGGCATATCGGACAGAGATCGTGAGATCATGTTGGACAGAAAAGGTTATCGCGTCAAACCATTACGGACTAGTTGCTCCCATACGAATGGTACTTGCACATAGACGAATGAATGAGTAGCCTTCTAGCTGAGAGCGATAATGCGACCGACATCACCTGCATTGATTGGGACGCCATCATCGCAATCTCACCCTGACCTGGCTGTAGGGACGCAACATCTCAAGCATAACTGCCTAGCTGGGATATCGATTCCCTGGGACTGTTGTGAGCGAGGCTATAACGGGAAGCTCTACCATGTTGTGCGGACATGATGCATTTGGTGATATGTCAAGCATAATGGTATGTCAGCTTAGACGGTACATACGCCTCATATTTGGTCTGATTACCCCAAGATGTGCTCGGCTACTGTGGGATAAGGAATCCAGACCTTTCTTCTCGGAACACAGGGTCATGCTACCGCCTCACTCCCTAGGAGCCTTATGAAATGAGCGCTGCCTGATTGTGGCGAAACAGCTGAAGCTGAAGGAAAGACGGATGAAGCTTCTGACATAATAACTCTAATCGACGAAAATAAGGATGCGGCCTATCATGGTTTGTGTCACAGTTTGTCAGTCTTCCCTCGTTGTCAGACATCAATCGCTGGCCATCTTACGTATGAAATTTCTACGTCTGGACGCCCTGCAGTATAACGCTCTTCTCCTGGAGGTCAACCTAACGTTACATAACTGCTTCTCAAATTATGCTGAAGGACAAGTTTGTCAGTAGCTTCTAGTTAGTTGACAAAGAAACCCGTTTTTATAACAAGGCGATGACACTACCACTACCTGCTCATTTCACCATCTCTTGTCAGCAATGCTACCCGAAAGTTGCACAGTCCATCATGCAGCACCGTTATCATCTTTGTGCTGCCATGAGCTTACACCCCGGAACATGTCGGAGGCAGCCTAGCAAAAAATACACAGATGCCTAAGGCTATGTCACATTTGCAGGAAGCAATCTAATATAAATACGTGCTTCTTTCCTACCATATCTCTATCATCACCAGCAACCACACTCAGCCAAGGAGCAAGTAAGCCATTCCAATATATCCAAAAAGCATTCAACGCTTGTCAACAAAATGAAGGCCCAAATCCTGGCTGTTTTGAGTGTTCTATTCGCTCTTGCTCCCGCCGTACCCACTACGTCCAACGTAAGAAGATCCAGCTCCAGCAAACACTGACTCCAAGCCTACTAACCCATCAAAGAGCACTCAGAATGTCACCGACATCATCAACAACATCCCCCAGTCGCCCAATGGAGTCCTGTTCCTCGGCAACGACGGCGTTTTGAGATCCGTCGACGCAGCTAATCGGGTTGTCTCCTACCAGCAGTTGAGCCCGCAGCAAATCAGCCAGTACATCCAAAACCTGCCACAGCGGGATGCAGCCCGCCTTCAACGCGTGTTCCAGGGCGTTGACGGCCGCGAAGTCACGGACCTTGACCAGCTGCTCAACCCTGATTCTGACCAACTACCATCCAGGGCGCCCAGCAGCGTGTCCCAGTCACTTCCCACGGGTACTGGAATGCCAAGCCAGGATATGTGCAGAACGGTCGACTGTACCTCGCAGAACACCTGTCGCCAGAATGGATGCAATAGCTGTCTTCAGGCTTACCAGATGTCCAACGGCTACTGCCACTAGTTGTGTGTTCAGACCGTGGTGTGGAGTGTTTGCCTTGCTCACGGGCCTTGATTGATCCTGTTTCGCTCATTTGCTTGCTTGATTTTTACTGCGGGCTTGTAGTGCCTCTTGTCAATGTTTGTCTGGGTTTGGCCGATACCCGGGTGATGGCAGTCAGTCCGCGCAAAACTGTGTTTTCTGATTCTTTTGTGTCCAGTCTGTCCTTAATTTAGTTTATCGAAACAGGAATATATACACCTAAAACAGAGCCTGTTTAGAGTGAACGACGGAGTGTTAGTAGAAAGTATTAAGTGCTGGATGCATGATGCAACCGCTAATTATGACTAACACTTGAGACTTGTATCAAAATCGAAGAACTTTGTGGATGGCAACTTGAAAGAGAAAAGGAACGGATAATGATAGGTACAATAAGGAAGACCTATACTGTCTCGTCAATTCTCCCCTTATAAACATGTATGCGTTGCATTGTCGTGTCTGAATACTAGACCAGGGACGCATAGGTATTACAGTTTGGTGTGATGTTATCGAGCTTCCGGCGAATCTTCACCTCGACTCCATAAATAAAATTGACGGGGTCTGCACAGCCTTTCCAGGACATTTGCAACCAGAGTCTCCACCGAGTCTAATTGCGATAGACTTAAAGCCGAGGTAGTGCCGAATTTCAGCTTGCCGGCATGGTGGGTCAGCGGCTATATACTCACCCGGCTCAACATCATCATGTTTGGGAACCTCCAGTGTCCGCTGCTGCCTGATCTTGGATACAAATTGCGCTTCATTGACACGTTGTGATAAGATAATTCACATGTTAATTTATCAGAGCGTCTAGGATAGACTGGTAACGTTTCCTCAGTCTTCCCTTAGTCATCGCGTCACTAACACACGGCCATAGTCCCTACGCTGAACATCTCAACCCCGCATCAACTAGCAAACATGCCGCCACGTCTCCCTGAAGGAGGTAAAACCCTGGTCTACTTCACTGTCGATGGCCATGATGTCAAGCTTGACTACTACCTACCGCTCAATGCCAGTGGGAATCTCCCCGCCATCATCTACTACCACGGTGGCGGCATGACCGCCGGCTCCCGCCGGGGCATGGGATTCCCCCACTGGCTATACAGTATGTCCTCCAACCTAATACCCCAAATACCAAACCAGACAAACAAAATGTCTAACACAGCAAACAGACCACTGCCAACAGAAGAACTACATCTTCATCTCCGCGGACTACCGTCTCTGCCACCCCACTACAGCGCTCGACCAGATTGAAGACGCGAAGGCCATGTTCCGCTTCCTGGCTGGAGATTTCCAGAACTCCCTCCCAGAAGGCACAACCATCGACACCACCCGCATCGCCGTAACCGGCTTCTCAGCAGGCGGATACTCCGCCCGCGCTGCCTGCATCTACGCGAACCCCAAGCCCGCCGCCATGCTAACCGGGTTCGGTAGCGCCGGCGACTGGCTCCTCGATCACTGGACGACTGGCCGTCCTCCCACTTCCATTGCCAGCATGGTGAACTTGGACGAAGTCCCCAAGCTACTGGCCGATAAGACCGTCGTCAGCGATGACATGCCCGAAGACGGGAAAAATATGACGAACCGGTTTGCGCTGACGGTGCGGTGGGAATTGGATGGGACGTTCCTGGATGGATGTCTGGGGCGGCCTGGGCTGGGCGCAGAGCTGAATAAGTTGGAGTATTCGCAAAGAGCGGCTGCTATTCCGGAGGACTTGAAGCCGGCGTTTTTGCAGTTGCATGTGACTGAGGAGCATCCGCCTGCGGTGTTTGTGCATGGAACTGCGGATGATGTTGTCCCCGATAAAGAGAGTATCAACCATTATGAGCAATTGAAGAAGTTGGGTGTCAAGACGGAACTTTTGCTTGTTGAGGGGGGTGCGCATGGACTAGTGGATTTCAGTCAGGGATTTCCGCCCAAGCCGGCGAAGGGGTCTGTGGAGGCGTATAACCGGGGGCTGGAGTTTATCGATGAGGTTTTCGGTCGAGTTTAGAACTTCCGGGCTAGCAAGGCCTTTCATGAAGCTGCATCGATATCTATGAGAATAGTCCAGTTATATTGTGTAGGGTATCGGATACATATGCTCTCATGCAGAGGAGCTCTGACGTGGTTCACGGCTGCATCTATTTCGATGAGAATGGTTGGATTGTTGAGATGGTTAACTCCTCATATGAAGAAGATGTATACTGCAAATATCATGATGCCTGAAAAATAACATGGTTTATACGCATGGCGTAGCGGCACATTCACTCCTAGAGAAATCCTAAATACTTGAAATTGCGATCGTGTGTCGCGCATTCATTGTGGGGTGCAGGTGGAGAATCGTGCAGGATGAGGTGGAGAAGCTGTACGCTTCCTGCAGCATCTCAGCCTTACCATCCATATTGCGCCCTCGTGCGGTCTCCAAGAAATTGATATAAATATAAGAAATTGGACGCTCGAATCGCCTCCAGATCACTGTCTATGTTCGAACCGCTACCAGAAGATCTCCAAACAATGACCAAGGACTATATACCCGAAATCTCCCATGCATATCAAACCCCTACTGCACACCACAAACCATCTAAAAGACACTTCTAATTATCCACTCAGCTCACCAGCCAGCGTACCCCACATCTTACACACATATACATACCTGGGTAGTATAACACCATGCCAAGCTCAATTCACCCCATCACCCCCAAACTCCGCCCTGCGACGAAGCAGGTAGTTCTCCTCCTTCAACCGATCAATTTCCCGCTCATACTCCTCCAAAGAATCCGCACTAGCGGACTCCAACTCCTCAATAATCTTAAACACGCGCCACAACCGCAGAACCACGACCAAGGAACCCAGTTCTTCAACCAACCCTCTCATGGCCACATCAATGGCGAACGCGACAATAATAACCGCTGAATCGAAAATATGGAACTTGGATGAGAAGTAACTGCGATAGTATCGTGAGCTAGCTGCAATACCTCATACCCCGAGCAACCCAACTACTCTAGCTCTGTGAAGTGACGAAAGTGTAGGAAAAAGTATGGAAAAAGACCTACCTCATCCCAAAACTCCCCACAGCGACCACCAATTCAAGCATGAACAGACACGAAAACACCAACCCCGTAATACTCAGCGCCTCCTGAGCATCTTCCCACCCAGAAGGCACATGCTTGTACTTCTTCTCCAATTCGCAGACGTGGATTTCAATCAAAAAATCCGCAAAAACACAGGCAACATCTACAGAGACAAGGAAGAGGACGAGGTAGTGACCAAATCGGGAGGAGAGGTAGTTGCGGGCCGACCGGCGGCAGCGTGCAATGAGGGGCTCGGTGGATGGTGTGTTTTCCTCGTCGTCGGGGAGATAGATCTGGCCTGGAGGGAGTGGCTGGGCCTCGGAGGCGAGGAGAGGGTCGCTTGGGGATCGCATGGTCTTTGTTTTTGCGGGAGTATTTTCTTGGTGATGATGGGTGAGGTTGAGAGGATAGAGAGAAGATGAGATTGTTTTGATGGGGAGAGAGGTGGCTTGAACGGGTGGAGCGATCGGGTACTATCCAGACGGTCGCGTGGTGAGATATTATTTGCTGCTCCGCTGGCTGGAGGAAAGCTTATCGTGCTCAAGATGCAGCGTGGTGCAGTTCTTGGCGTTGCTTTTCAGGTGGTGAGTTTGGATGCCTGGACATGTATGTATTTAAGTCCTTTGGTTTGATTTGTTAAGACCTACATTTATATAAATTCTCCTTCCCCTTTCTGTTTGTCAAAATGCTCGATAACTTGTGGTCATCGACTCGATCAGGCCTATATATTCTCTTGTGTAGTGATATGTTTGCTTTTGTTGAAGTCTTTACTTTTCCTACCTTTCTTTTTCGTTACCAGTTTTTCTCACCGTAGCCATTTACCAGTTTGATGCATTGTGTGCCTTATCTACTAACGCATACGGCTTCAGTCAGGTGGGGAAAGCATACCCTTTCGATCAATTTCTATCAACTTTATCTGACAGTTACTATCCATTATCCATACTCTCCAGACTACCTGCAGAGTGAAGCTTAGATACATCTTTCAACAACCTCAGTTCCCATTCTCCCTCGCCTTCAACTCCCCACGCACCTTAGGCAGCACATACCGCCCATAATCAATCGCATCATTGAGATTGTCATACCCGCGGATAGAGATCAATTCGGCGCCCAGATCCACATAATCCAAAATCGAATCAGAGATAGTCTGCGGCGATCCGACCAAAGCTGTGGAAGCTCCGCGCGCATTCGTCGCCGTGACAGTGGGATACCAGAGCGCGCGGTCCTGGACCTCCCCACGCGCCGCAATATCCAACAGACGCTGGGACCCAACATTTTGCGGCGGCGGAGCATTGGGCGGCGCCTTACCCTGTCCGTTAGCGCGATGCTCCTTCAACTTATCGAGCGTCTGATACGCCTTAGCCCAGGCCAGCTCATCCGTCTCGGCAATAATAGGACGGAAAGTCACCCAGATACGGGGGCGATCGTCCGGTGCACGACCGGCGCGTTCGGCCTCGGCATAGATCCGATCGATCTGTTCCTTGGTTTCCTTGAGCGGTTCGCCCCAGAGACCGAAGATGTCGGCTAGTGAGCCGCCTACGCGGTATGCTTCATCGGAGGAGCCACCCACCGAGACGGGAATGGTCCCGTTGGGGTTGGCAGGACGGACACGGTTGCTGAATTGCTTGAAGGTGTAGTATTCACTCTCCCAGTCGAAGGGCTCATCGGATTCCCAGGCTCGACGGAGAATGCGGATGTATTCTTCTAGTCGGCCGTAGCGTTGGGATTTGGTGAGGAAATCACCTTCTTTGGCTTGCTCGGCATCGCTGCCGCCGGCGATAAGGTGGACTACGGCGCGTCCCCGACTGAGCTGGTCTAGGGTAGCCAGGGCTTTGGCGGCGACGGTGGGGTAGAGGGTGTTGGGGCGGAGGGCGATGATGATCTTGAGGTTCTTGGTCACCGACGCAATGGTGGCTCCGATGGTGAAGGGGTCGTAGGAAGACGAATCGTATGGCACGAGGGTATAGTTGAAGCCATAATCGTCTAGGGATCGTGCATATCGGACGAGGTAGTCGGGGTCAATAGAGGCGTTGGGGATAGGCGCGACCTCAGTCGAGGCGTTGGGGAAGGTAAGGCTGATGAATTCAGTAGGCATGGTGAAAGATGATCTATAGTCTATGCATTGACATGGCTGCACTGATCAGGATGAGCATAGCATTTATAATCTTCGGAGGGGCTGTACTTTTTGCCCTGAACCCCGCATGGGATGCGCTGCGGTGCTCTGAGATGACGCGAGACACTAGGCGATCACGCCTTACATGGCCGATAACGGTCGGCAGTTTCACACATCCGAGTGGACAGATGAGGTTGTAGAAGTCGTCATTCTGGGATACCATTATGCAACCCAGGATAGATGATTGACACCATTTGGCAGGCTCTTCTGACTGGACGTGCTGTGAGGGATCGGGCCATCGGCGCGCACATACATCCCCTATCGAAAGTCTAAGCTCGACAATCAAATGTTTATTAAGCCACACCACTAAGCGTTATTGGCTGGTTCTATCTGAAACCGGAGATACCGGACGCTGTGTTATGTTTTACTGATTATAAATAATCCCTCGATTTTGATGTGTGAGTAATGCTTACAATTCCCACCATCAGCAGTTGCTGTGCAGGATAGTGGCCAATCACGCAATCATTATAGGCAAAGAGTATACATCTTTGTTTACTCGAGATGACTATCTATGGCACTTACCGGGACTTACGCTTGTGGATCATATTTGTTCGAGGTCATGGCCATATGGATAGCTCAGCTGCACTGGGTATGAGTCTACATCATCGATCTGAAGCCAGATGACATTAAGGCTTCTATCCAGATGAAATGGTACGTGATTACTACTAGAGGTGAAGTGTTGTATATGTGAGTTTCTATAGCAGCTTAGCCACACTGATGTTAGAGACTTAGGGCATATTGAGTCGAGGAAAGAAAAAAAAAAAAAAAAAAAAAAAAAAAAAAAAAAAAAGAGAAGGAAAGAGTAATTATTGTCTTCGGTTTTCACTTTCGATTTCGGTTTCTTTTCCTTTTCTTTCCTTCCTTCTTTCCTTCTTTCAGCACCACATATGGAAAGACCGTCCTTACAATGTGACTGCATTGCATCTAGACCCAATGTAGACGATTCTTACGAGTAGTCCCCGTTTGATAGTTTTGTTCAGTGAAGGTAGTTGTCCTGGCTCAATCAAAGTTTCCCGACGCACAATCTCATCTTCCCTTCAAATAGTCGCATTTTTTCCAGAGATTAGTTCTCCTCTAAATTGATACATAGAAGTTCCGGTAAACATCATGCCATCGGATAGCAACACTAGAGCTTCTACCTCTCACGAAGAACATGGAAATGGCCGTCGAAGCGGTCGCAGTAGTGACCGTGACCGTGGCGGACGCGGTGGCTGGAGGCCCAGAAGAGTGTGTGTTCTATCTTATCAAAAATGAGATTCATACATTCCAGTCTTCTATCAGTATGCTAACAAGGCTTGAAATGCAGTGCCGGTTCTGTGGCCACAGGGGCCATTTAATCGCGACCTGCTACCTATACCGCGGGATAGAAATACTGGTATGTTTCATCCATACTACCTTTTACTCTAATTCTGTGGATTTTACCAAGCTCACTTCTTACAGGGAGCCAGACGCGTTGCGGTTAGCTAAATATGAAAGAAAAACATATAATGCAGGAAAATAACTTGTACGATTAGGTCGAATGGCGACAGAGACTTCAGCGCCGCCACTACCGTGTTAGTACTCTGCATTCGATACATTGGATGGCCATAAACCTGATTATTGTTACGGCAGCACCGTCAGCAGTATCAGCGCCAGAGTCAGCACTACCAAGCCCGCCATCACCAAGATCACCACAATCACAACCAGCAGCATCAGCACCAGCAGCAAGCGCAGGAGCATTCGGAACTGCAAGAACAGCAGGAACAGCAGCAGGAACAGTAATGACAGTAGAGAGTTTTATCCAGGGATATGTGTACTCGATTCAACGGCCATAGTGCTATTGTTTTTTTATTAAGATGACATGTGCGTACGGATAACACATCACCTCTTCTCAATGGTCCCATTTCGAAACTATACTTACAACACTCCTCCACTTACAAGGGCCGCAATTCGCAGGGCACGACTAAACGACTAAATGAGAATTCAAAGAAAAATAAGCAAGGTCCGTTATTGAAGTCGTCTGGAAATGAACGATGATGGGGGAGCGTCAAATTGACCAGACGAGAGCATAAGAATTCGCAGACGATCTACCACATTGCTAGATTCGACCTGTGCACAGGACTGTGCAGTAGTTAATTCCGGTCATACCTGATTCTCTTCCTGAGGGGGACGCTAGGAACAGGCAGGTAGGGAGCACTAATTGTCTGTAGTAGCAAGATAATGGATGGAACAGCTAGTATCTTATATCGGGACCGAGATCGGCTAGAAAACATGAACATGAATGGATTCATATTGCAATACACAAACATGATGGATCATAGGGCGAGATCGTTTTCCAGACACCTTCCTAACCATTATTTCTTCTGGTTATTGTTAGTGGTGGTGGTGGTGTTGACGAGGATAGTGCGACTGATGGTGGAGATTGAGTATTCTCAGGGAAGTACCATAGATCTACACTATTAAGGCTGTTTCTTTTTTGTGACAGCTTTGACAAGCGTAAGTGGGATCTAGAGAAGTCGGTCAAGGGGGTATGTTCAGTAGAGACGTGAGGGGTGTTGCGCTGGTCCCGAAATAGCAATGATCGCCTGCGTGCGGGGAACACATCCCTCCGCATGTTTGTTTGTTCTTTCTTCCTACCACAAAGTCTTCGTTGGTAGTCAATTTTCCGGGATCCAGGAAGAACATCAATTCAAATTGTGACATAAAATTGGGCGTATCATCACTAAATATGTTCGAAGATGGTGAGGGTTGGAGATAAGTTGGGATGGTCCTGCTTATCGCTCTCGGATCTCGGCCTATCTCCATCTGCAAGGGCGCACGGCCTGAACATTCATCGCCAAGGAGGGGCACCATCCCCTCTTTTAAAAGCCCATTCCCACGCTCTTTCTTCACCAATATACGCTCTCATCACTCACCTTCCCGCTACTCACCTCCCCTCTGAAACGCAAATCATGTATACTCCCCGAATCGGCGATCGGCTCTCGAGCCTGGATACCCCCTCAATGATCGTCGATCTCGACTTGATGGAATCCAACATCCAGAAACTCTTCTCCGCCCTCCTCCCCACAGGACTGAACATTCGTCCGCACCTCAAAACCACCAAGTGCGCTGCCCTAGCAAAGAGGCTCGTCGCCGCGGGTGCCAAAGGCTGCTGCGTTGCTAAGGTCTCAGAAGCCGAGGCCATCACAGCCGCCGGGTTCGACGACATTCTGATTACATGCGAGATCATCGGCGCACCGAAAGTCCAGCGACTCGTTGAATTGGTGAAGAAACACCCGGGGCGATTGCGTACCGTGGTCGATAGTGAAGTCGGGGCTACGGCCATTAATGAGGCATTGGAGCGGGAAGGAATAACGACGCCCTTGGCGGTGTTGATTGATTTGGATGTGGGGCTGCACCGTACGGGCGTGGCTGATGCGAAGGCGGCATTGGCGCTGGCGGGACATCTGGCTGGGCTGAAGCATTTGAGGTTGATCGGAGTGCAGGGGTATGAGGGACATGTGCAGCATATGCATAGTTATGAGGAAAGACGACAGGAATGTTTGGCATCAATGAAGATATTGACGGAAACGGCGGAGGCGCTGCGCAAGGAAGGCTTCCAAATCGATGTGGTTACTGGAGGTGGGACGGGAACGGTGGAGTTCTGTGCCTCTGTGCCCGGGGTGACGGAGTTGCAGCCGGGGTCGTTCATATTTATGGACACAGATTACCGGAATGCGATTGGAAGGGGGTATTCGAACAGTTTGACGATACTGTCGACGGTTGTCAGTCGGCAAGGGGAAAGACAGGTTACGATTGATGCTGGATTGAAGTCGTTGACTACGGATAGTGGGTTGGCAGAGTGCAAGGATTCCAGATATACTCATCAGAATTTGGGTGATGAGCATGGTGCGCTGAGTTGGGACGAGGGGACTCCGGATCTGAGAGTTGGGGATAGGGTGGAGATGGTCCCGAGTCACATTGATCCGACGATCAATTTGCATGACTTCTATTATGCTCATCGGGGTGGAGTCATTGAGGAGATCTGGTCCGTGGATGCTAGAGGGAAGGTTCAATAGATAGCGTTCTTGGGATAGATTTTACTACCAACCGAATACAAATCTTCAATTAAGTACCTCTGCATGCCGCATCGTAATACTATCGAGTACACTTCCAGGTTTAGATTAAGAGTAAGTATGCATGATTTGGAGTTGTATGTGCCGAACGCGTTAAAAGCACAGACTTGCTACCGTAGTTGGCCCGCCACAGAGTCTTTCATTTAGTGCAACATAGCGTAATTTAACCTGGCAGTAGAACAGATCACTAACTCGAAGAGAGCCGCTTTCTCGTAGGGAAAACCATGATTCTCGCAATAATGTGCCTGCATGCCAAGAACAATATCTGCAACCCATTCAGAAGTGGATTCCCGTCAGGCTCACGTTGAATTAGAGAAAGATATCAAGAGTAGAGTTCGAGGTGTGACTTTAGAGTATAGTTAAGATACTGGCTGATAATTCAACATTCCTTCTTTAGGACATGCTTTTGATCAATGCGGGGAATGGGAAATACAATGAAGGTATTTCCTTGGCATCGGAGTGGGTCTTATCTTTCTTCCAGCTGTTGCAATACCATTCATTTCAGCCCCCACTACTAAAAGTGGATTTGGTAACCAGAACATGAACAATTACCAATGTTATCTCTTCCCCAGTAGATAACTCTTATCATTTATCACCAGTATATGCAATCAAGCTGACTTGCTTGGGGCATAGAGTGACTGACTCATACGTTCTCATTCTTCCACTTTAATCCATGTCTTCTGCGGATATGTGAGACTTTGGCAGCCACCGTCCCTAATATTCCTTGATTTGACGGAGTTGACCGATAGCTGGTGACCACTACCGATGCAAGTAGAAACTCAGACTCTTGATGAACCACTGGCCTTTGCAATGGACCTTGCGGGGAAGACCATTGACACCCTGAACGGTCCTGCGGAGGGGTCTCTCACTTCCCGTCTCCCGTCTTCCGCCATGTAGATCCTTCCTCCTCGCGATAAATCTGTTAGCGTAGATCAAGATGTCTTCTCCAGGCATACGGGGAACGGCGACCGCCGACAGCCTCAGATCTAACGGTTGAGTGCTTGATTATGCTTGATTACTCGATTCTTCACGGCAGACGTGCGGGGTGGACCAGGGCACAGTCAGATGTCAGATCCTGGCCCACTGCTTCCGCTGTGGATCATGCCGAAACAGCCAGGGCGTCCACTAGACATGGGTCGGTGGAGAGCTGCACCGAGTGCCCTCATGATCAGACTTCAGGGCTCTTCTGGGACCAATGTTAAATAGCTTTTCAGGATACACTTCGTGTGCAGGCCGCAGACACTTCATGCCAGCACTTTTGACTTGTTTTGAAAGACACCAACACACTCCTTTCACGTTTCTGTTGATTTTGCATCCATGACGAGTTGAAGGATTCGATCGTCGGGCCTGACCCCGAGAACGGCCTAGCAGTGTTACATTGTGTGTCTAGCCTCATATAAACTGGCTGACGGCATGAAGACTAACAAAGCGGCCCCCATTCATTCCTTCGCATCCTTCGGTCTTTCCGCTGATGGCTCTCACCCAGGCCATTCAAGTCATCTCCGACTCTCAACTGAATGCATTGAACAACGAGTGGCGAGGCAAATTCGTGTGCGAAACCCAATTCCTGTTTGCAAGTTCACGCTATTCCTAGGATGTTGGTCTCCGCGTCCGTCATCATAGTAGGATACGAATGAGCATCCTTCCTCACAGCTGAGCGGCTCAACAATGATGCCAAAGGATTATTCGCACGGCCGTATTCGAAACAGTGGCCCGTTCAGCTCGATTTACAGACCGGAACCGGATTCTAGATTCGTTGAATATCAGTGGCAATGTGCATTAGCGCGTGCGAAAATTCGTCAGACAATTCGGCATTCATGGAAGGATGACTCTGAAAAGACCAGACCTCTTGTGATGATGACGGTGCTATTGATGTACTTTTGGTAGTGCACCTTGAGGTGCATCATGAGGCTTCAACTGGGGCCAAATATCACATCGGTGGAGGTATAAAGGGGATGAGAAATCCACGGCATACAGCCCCTCATGCCAGGCCGTTAAGTCTCTTTGGCATTCTCACTTGAAAACCCAAACAGCTTCGTTCATCAACGTTATCTCACCATGACTATTGAAACGTATCAATTTGGCGCCTTCAAGTCGCAGAGGACGGATGTTCTTATTGTTGGCGCTGGTCCCGCTGGATGCATGGCCGCGGCAACGTTGCAAAGATACGGCATCGATTTTTGCCTGATTGACAAAAGGGCCACGAGAACACAAACTGGGCATGCAAGTGGTACGCCAATAAATTTCCTTCTTGTTGACTTGACGAGAAAGCTGATCATACCACCAAGCATTCCAACCTCGAACCCAAGAGATCCTGCAGACGATGAATCTACTTCATGATCTTGACAAGAGAGGACATCGTCTTACCGAAACTTCTTTTTGGATGCGTGATAGCTCGGGCGCCCTAGTCAGTAACTTCACCGGCGCTGAGGTGGTCCATGGTAAGTTCTTCCGCAGACGGTGAGGCGGTTATGCGACATCCGACATAGCTGACTTTTCAAAAGCCACGCCGTACCAGTACCTTTTTAATACCGACCAAGGCATGACGGAAGATGTATTTGAACAGTACTTGAACAGCAAGGGGCAAAAGGTCCAGCGATTCATGGAACTTGTTCATTATGAACACAGCCCAGAGCCCGAATGGCCACTCACAGCGTACATCAAGAATAATGCTAGCGGGGCCATCGAAGCATGGCAGACGAAGTATATCTTAGGTACCGATGGGGCGCGAAGCGCTACACGCCGTGCTACCGGTGTGCAATCATCCTCGCAGGGCGGCGAGGACGTTTGGGCTGTCGCGGACGTTTATGTTGATACGAACTTTCCCGATTACAGAAGACGTTGTGCCATCCGAACTCCAGATGGTGGCTGCATGTTGATCCCTCGCAAGGATGAGGGACTCCGGATTTTCCTGCAGGTGGATGAGAAAAGTCAGGAGCGCCTAAATGCAAACGGAGCTTTGGCACAAGATGCCCTTACTGGAAACTGTGCTTTCAAACTCACCCAGACCGTCCAGTCCCACATCAGCAAGGTCATTCATCCTTACAAGATGAATATCACAGACATCGTTTGGATTAGCCAGTATCGCGTTGCCCAGCGAGTTGTCCATAATTTCAGTGATCCGACCAAGCGAGTTTTCCTCCTTGGAGATGCATGTCACACACATAGTCCTAAAGCAGGACAAGGAATGAACGTCAGCATTTCAGACGCATACAACCTCACATGGAAACTGGCACTGGTCATGAAAGGTATTGCAAAGGCATCTTTGCTTGAAACGTACGAACAAGAAAGACTTTGGGTTGCCCAACAGCTTATTGAATTCGACGCCTTGTTTGCCCGTCAATTTGGACAAAAGGATAAACTTGACAGTCAGAACCTCCGCGAGACATGGGAAATGGGACATGGTTTCACAAGCGGGTGTGGGTATGTGTACCCTCCAAACTTACTTGTTAACCGCGATGTCCGGACTTCCATCAACAACCAAGCAGTGGAGCCGCTCACGCCGGGCAAGCGTCTCTTACCTATCGATCTGATCCGACACATCGACGGCAATCATGTTCGCATGCTCGACATCATGCCATCCAACGGCAGATTCCATCTCTTCATTTTTGCCGGCAATGACCTAGCTTCGCCCACCCTGCAGAATCTCGGAAATGCTTTCGACTCACCTCATTCGCCAATGAGTCTCTTCAATTGTCTGCCACTGGAACTTATGCAACGTTTCCGTCATGAGGACATCACAACGGACTCAGTTCCATTCACCAACAAGGCATATGTTCTTGATCTTTTCCTGATTCATTCACAGAATCACCTGGATACTCAATTGGGAGACATCCCTGCTCCATTTTCCTCGAAATGGCCCATGAACGTATATTCTGACTTTTCTGGAGCTGCAAAAAGCCAGCTCGGTGTCCCTGAAGACTCTGGTGCTTTGGTGGTGGTGAGACCAGATGGCTATATTGGACTTGTCACTGGCTTGGATAATGTTGAGGATGTGACGTCTTATTTCGATGGCTTCATGCACCGGCGCATTTAGTGGTCACGACAAGCCACTGAAAGGGAAGGGAAAAACGCATTTCTGTGAGATGCAGGTAACGGCCAGCTTAATATCCTACAACACAGGTTCAATATCAAAGTCGTGGCTATCTGTGGATCTATTGTTGCTCGGTAGTGAATTCCATTGTAGATAATTAAGTCCCTGTGGCGTAACTCACCAGACCGGGGTCTTTATCCGATTTCTAACTAAAGGGGAAAAGGTAGACTGTATTTGCTCGGTACTTATGGGTATAAGACCACCTATCTCGAGAGAAGGCGCACTATAGTTATTGAGAGAATGACATCTATCATAGGTCTTCAAAAATGGCGCATCACATTACATCGCTATCAGTACCCCTGTATATTGCCTTATCCGACGGTCTGGAGCTTATTCATTGAAGTGATAGCGGCACCATCCGTGAGTTCAGGCCTCTCCGGACGTCGGAGGTGTCCGACTGCAGCACAGACAGCAAGGAAGTGCCTCAGTGATATATCAACAACTCAGATCGCGTTTCTCGAACCGTACCATCTCGTCTTGGAACAAGTATTTTTTTTAAAAACTAAACCTTCAACATGTACGGCCTATCCGATGCACAATATGGCAAAGACAACGTTCGACTATACAAGGTCCATCGTGATGCAGGAACGGGTGTGCAAACAGTATACGAACTGACGGTCTGCGTCTTGCTGGAGGGAGACATAGAATCTTCGTGAGACACTCGTCACGATATTTCACGATATCAAAAATTCCAACTAACAATCGAGCAATAAGTTACACCAAGGAAGACAACAGCGTCCTTGTCACTACAGACGCAATCAAGAACACATGCTACATCGTCGCCAAACATAACCCCGTCCACCCTCCGGAACTATACGGCTCCATCCTCGGGAAACACTTTATCACCCAATACAATCACATCCATACAGCCCACATCGACATTATCTGCCATACCTGGGAACGAATGACCATCGAGAACGAGCCACACCCACATTCATTCTTCGAGGACGGGAGCGTCAAACGGCAGATCCGCGTGGATGTTTCCAAGGCTTCAGGCATCGATATCACGTCGGCTATCTTTGGCCTCAGTGTTTTGAAGAGCACCAGGTCTGAGTTCTGGGGATACATCAAAGACGAATACACAACGTTGCCGGAGACATGGGATCGTATTCTGAGCAGTGATGTTGATATCAAGTGGAGATGGAAGCACTTCGAAGATGTTGCGGACGTTAAAGCGAATGTCTCGCATTTCGTTGAGGCGTTTGCAAAGGCGAGAGACGCATCCTTCAAGGCGTTTGCGGAAGATAATAGCATGAGCGCGCAGGCGACACTGTATAAGATGGCTGAGAGGTTCTTGGACTGCGTTCCTCTCTCTGATGCTGTGGAGTATTCTTGGCCTAATAAACACTATGTGGAGATAGGTAAGCTTCCGTAATGTTTCAGCGTCTTTACTGCATACTGCTTCCTTCTGGCATACTAACATTGAATGCTGATAGACCTGAGCTGGCACAAGGGCATCCGGAACACAGACAAAGACGCAGAGGTATATTTGCCGCAATCGGCACCAAATGGCCTTATCAAGGGGACATTAACCCGTCCTACCCTCGATAAGAGCAGATCTGCGAAGCTTTGATCAGCTTTGGGGAAGATATATATGAAGAGCTGGGGTGATAGAGAGAGCTGGAGCTTGATTGAGTGTTGCGTATATGTATTTACGAGCAACCTATGAGCCCCACCTTGTGCAATCTTTTGTAACATACGTGTCTTCCTACTCGACCTACCAACATCTGCTTCCATGCCGTTTATACGTGCATGCGACCACAGGTTATGGGGTATAGGTATCGTGCCAGTTACTTGTAATTAAAATCTAGGATCTGAGACGGCTGAGCCAAGGCAAGTCTTAGTGTATTGCTCTCAACCCTCTTAAAGATCAAGTTACAGAACAGCCCTTAGCCCGCGCCGGTGTACCAGAAGCCTTCTTATACGACTTAATAGTCTCTAGCAGGGTATTCAGTTTTTCCTATAAATAGCTATGTTTAAACTTGAGGGGTTTTCGTCGTGGAATGTCTCGGGAGTGTATGTTATCTGTCGTTTCGCATTCATGCCTAGCGTTTCCAACAACTTGACAACATGCGATGATTTATGACGAATAATCGAGCCCCACGTGACCATAGCACATCTGACTTAACTTAAACGGCTTTTATCATTTTCATCTATGTCTAGCTGAATTTAGAAACATACTGAGAGAGTTTAGTCATGTGATAGATCAAGTATCGTATTACAGAATTGAAAAGTTGATTAAGTTGATTAGCCATTGGCATGTTAAATGCCTCTTTCCCCGCCTTTTGGGGAGGGAAAGAAAAAGGGGGGAGAAAGATCTAAGATAAGAAGATGGGGAGAAGAAGTTCCAATCATGGTAAATCAGGAAAAATTCTCAATGTGAAGCTCCTCAGAAACTAAATTTTCAAGAGAAAATAGGGGCTTTCTTGACGTCAACACGGCCTAGGACCGGTAGGTGGTAGACTCGGAGTCGTAAGTAGTCTGCACCTTGCCTGACCTGGTCTCGGGTAGAACATCAACAGAACATCAACAAGTCACAATATTGAAGAAAGATTGTTAAGCTCCATCTGCTTTCCAAACATGCAATCAATGGAGATACCAGACCTGGTTATTTGCCGCGAGCATTCCCAAATACCAGACCCCAAGTAACACTGTTAGTCTCGGCTCTGAAGCAGTACCCTTCGCTGTCCAAGGAATGGGCGTCGAGAGCTCCAAATTTCCATCCTCATCGAGCCTTCGGATAGCGACAAGTTCCCGATCTGTTATAATAAAGCCGTAGCGTGCATGATGTAGCTTCATGTAATAATTGACTTGGGATAAGGCCTGCTTGAATTCATCGCGTGAACTGGGCTTTAGATGGTTCTTCAGGGCAAAGGACCATTTATACGAAGGTTTAGCGTCACCCGGAACGCGGTTCGGCCTGGTTCTGGGATCAAGATCTGGATCAAAGAAGGCGAAGTCGGGAATGAAGCCACTAGGAGTTGCAGCCATCTGACCAACATCGTATTTCACAACTGTGAGATTGGCCAGCTGTTGAGTAGTCTGCAAATGCGAGAATCCGCAGCGAAGGGCACGTATAATCCGGTTGGTTAAATAGGCGTCAATACGGGATCGGACTGCAGCTTCCGAGTTTATAGGCCGCGGAGGAGAAGGTTGAAATGGTTCATCTGGAATCCCTGCGGCAGCTAAAAGGGGCCCAAATTGTTGTTGTTTAGAGGTGAGGTTGAATCCAGCCCAGTGGCCCACATTGTTGATATCATCAGCCCTGTAACTATCACTTCGTGTATTCTGTGGTGACTGTCCTTGATTGATGATAGGCAGCGGAGGGGGATTATGTTGTAAGTACATCATGAGGCTAACTTGGGCCGCTATGGTATACAAATAAGGATGCTGTCAAAGTTCTGATAGTAATGGATAAGTAAGAAACGGAAGAATAGTAAGATTGTCTTCTACATCCGAAATCAATGTTCTTAATCACTGGTGGCATTCCTTTCTTTATATACCAAACAGGACATCATGTTCTTGGCTGAAGGTACAATACGCGGACCATGAGAAATTTGTAGTTGTCTGATGTAGAATTCTCTTTGATAGGTGCTTAGGAACTACCCCAGATGTTTTCCCAGGTATACTCTTGGCCCAATAATAATTTCAAGAGTGCTTAGAAAAGCTAAAAATTAATATGAATTCAAATTTGGACCGCAATAATCGAAGGATTGGATTTGTTCTTCGATAATCCCTGTCAAGATGGGCTGGACAGGGATTAGCTGGTAAAATGTTATATGGATTGGCTCGGATTCCGCGTTTTCAATCTTTCCACTCACCAAACCCCACTTTCCGATCCTCCCACTGTTCCCTACATTCTCATGGGCGCTTACTATACATTGTATTGTTCCAGCCACGGGCGCAATATCTAGAGGGACTGGCTGAAAACTTTCTGCTAGGATGAGTCACCCTCTGTTGCGATCACTGCTCGACAGGAGTAGATGGTTTGGCTATGGGTGCTGTGGAAGAGGGCCAAAGTCTTAAGGTGTTGAAGAAATGACTAGGTTATGCTGGTATTTAGTATATAATGCGAGCGCGTGTTTAAGCATGCATCTCCAGGATTCAGGCCTATGTAGTATTTACTTTAATGCGGATGCTTCCTAGCTTTTGGGCCTTTCTTGACTCTCTAATCTATTTATTACTTTCTTTGATGGAAACAGTATATTCAACCCACATATCAATTATTGATGCCGATCATCAACAATCGCATCAGACTGAAAAGCAACAAGAATCCCATGAATCTCGCAAACTCCTTCCATTATCTCGGATGTTCTTGATTTCCTCTTATAATCTTCTATTACGTACCTCATGCTGTAAATACTGCCTTATATCCTGGTTTAATTGAACAAGTTTGACATCTCTTTGATCTTGAGCAGAACCCCGGGCATACCTGACCATTCTGCGTTGAACCCTCCACTGTTCATCCCTTCTGCCAAATAAGCCGATCTTGTTTTCTCATGATCAGTCACTTTTCACCCTCCGCTTCTACTGTGCACACAACAATTTTATACACCTGGGGTAAAGTAACATGAACGGCCTCTAATCTGGTTATGGGGACCTCTTAGGTTTACAAACTTTCAAAATACAGAGCTTCTAGTCCGATATTATACACTATGTGCTTATGGTATTGGGAACAAATACTGGGATTGGATTTTGATAAATAACTGTTAACCCTTCCTCTGGCTAAACATCAAATTACCGAGCTAATAGGACTTCGGCTGAGCTTGACGATTATGACTACGATTTCTATTCACAATCGCTTTCGGAAGGAACCACTCGTATGGTATTCAGATGGCTAAGATCGACAGGATATTCTTGCAGCGAAAGACCTATATACCAACATTCTTGGCTGGGCTTGGAAAGTACTGATGAAGAAGGGTGCGATGATCTGGAATCAGATATGGTAAAATAATAGAAATCAGAGAGAGAAAACGTGGAAAGTTGGCTTGAAAGCATCGGATAGTTCTTAAAATTTATCTGTATAGTATTAATGATAATACTAATAACTGCCGTGTTAGTGCGGCAGGTGGTGCCTGGCTTGGACGATGGGTATTAGGAACGCCAAGCCTACCGAGAGGCCTTGGAGGAATATATCCAACACGTTAACACGCCAGTCGACGATGAACGTCAACAATGGAGACCGAAGCAGGAAAATGTGGATACCGGAGAGGGATGGCTGAGATGGAGATACAGAGGAAGCAGCAGGCAATTATGAAGGATAATTAAGAGATATATTGTGGGATTGTGGGCATTGCGGGCGCTTTGGTATTGTTTTTGGGCTGGTTTTACATGGCAATACGCCGCTCTCCTTTGTATTTACTGTTTCATGCGCTTGGGCTGGCGTTCGGATCACTCGTGCTTCCGCCGAAGGAAGCGCCTACATAGCCATTACGCCACTAGCTGGGCTGCATCAGGTTAATAGAATGTTAATTGATTGATTAATCATTCATTCTGGCCCTAGTTTGACCGGAATATCAAAAAGCCCAAATACTGGGAAAAATAATGTTTAGATAATAATTTTGCACGCCGATCAAAACTTCCGCCAGCCATGTCTTTGTGAGTATGACTTTGGACATATTCTCTCGTGCGACATATCCTCATGTCCACTACAACCAAGCAGTTGACATATCCGGGCCGCTCAGATACACATTGACCTGCATGGCCTGGAGTTTTCCGTTATAGAACTGGAGCACTTCGAGAGTTTCGCCTGTGGCGTTCGTGGGAGACAGCAGGGGTAGAGTTGCTTTAGTCTTCATCTCCGCGAACCACACGTCTTGGGCTTCCTGTGCAGCAGTCATTCTGTTTGGGATGAAGGCAGAAACATTCGCATTGTAGGGGTAGACCTTGCCAGGGATAATGCCACTCGTGACAATAAAGCCCAGTTCCTCGTCAATAACCAGGTTCACACGTGCGCTGTCATCGGTAGGATGGTCATCAGGCCAACTACAGCCAATGGGCTCGGTCGTGCCGTTTCCGTACACTCCAGTATCGACAACCTTCCAGCCTAATTCAGTGAACTGGCATGTGTCACTGATGGTAACTGATAGGTTTTTTGATGACGAAAATAGAGCCTCGCTTAGAGCCTCGAGAGAGGCCCGGCTATCCTTCTTCCGATCAGCCGGTGGCAACATTAAAGTGGCATAATTTGGCACAAGCTGAGTAGAATTGTAGGAGAAGCCGTGGTCGCCGCGACTTCGGTTGATAAACAGCTCGAGCTCAGTAATCTTTTGATTGACCACCTTGATGCGCCCGCGAAGAATCGATAGGACTTCATTGTTGCCCTCACTGACATCTAGGGCGAAGTATCCAGTACCCTGCTTGGTATCAATTGCCAGCAGGCTGGGTGGTGCAACATTGACGATAGTGCGCCACGAGGTCATCATTTTCAGCGCCGCTGGGTGCGAATTCTCAGTCGCCTTGTAGACCGTTGCCAGTGGCAGGGTTGACGGGTCGTGGGCCACCATGGAGTCCAAAACTTGAGTGATGATGGCCGTCATACATGCTCGGGAGCAGGAATTTGAAGTGCTTCTGGGAAGAACAGCAGTATCAGGGTGATGCGGTAAAGATGCGCCGCCCATCATGAACACTGCCATTGAGAGGCCAATTGATAAGTGAAGTATATTGGAAAGGCCTGGAATGCGCATTTTGCGTTGCTAATTCAACTGAGTAAAGTGGCTTTAGGTCAAATGCTGTATGGAACTGATGGGTAAAAGTGTTCTTGACAAGGAAAGAAACCCCAAGGAGTCCAGGCTTTTATATCCTTTTATACAAAATGAATGACGCAGGCTACTAAATATTGAGAAGTATAACGTTGATAAGTACGTAGAATACGTAGTATAATCGACTTTAGCCCATTGGTTTCCCCAGACTCGGCTCCACCTCCTTTCTCCAGGTACTGGGATCGTTGCTCGGCTCCGCCTCCAATTCCGTATACAGCATTAGAGTTGACGCTCGGCTCCATGCTCCATTCATGTTGATACAACCAGTTCTACTAGAATGCACTGTCCTAACAAATCAACGGCAACACAGTCGGTAACCACGAGCAAGAGAGAGCATCCTAATGTCAGCCTCAACAATTCGGGCCCTCTCTATCATGTGTTATGGCACACTCATCGAAACCAATGGAGTACATCCCCTGAGCATCTCTTGTTCAAGGACATAGACTGTCTCTATAAGCTGTTTTGGATATTCCACCGCCGAGAAAACATTGGACTTGAACTCCAAATTTCCTGTACTTGCCATTCGTTTCTGTCCAGGGTAATGGCGCGGGGTAGTGACCGTCCGGGTTAAAAGTAGCCGAGTCCGTAGCCCGCAGATGAGATGACATGACACCGAGCGTTGTCCGACTCCGAGGTTCGCCAACTCTGGGAATCTCCAAGTCTTTTAAAGATCGTGAATATTCACCTTGATCATGCACGCCCAATTGCACCCCACTGAGAATGATATTCCATAGAGATAGAGAGATCAAGTGTCATGAGCATATGACTTCATGTTCGGAGGCCAGGGATCGAAGACATTCTGAATGGGCCACGTTTGCTCAACATTTGCCCGTGGTACTCGATACCCCGGAGTCAGGCACAGCACTAAAAATTACCGCTTATTCTCTCCCACATCCTCGCTAATTTACCCGCTCAATATGATAGTCTCAAGTGAATTGAACCGCCCTGACGGGGAATCAGGAGGGATGGAGGATTCTGGACTTTCCCTATGACCAAAGCAGGAATTTCTCCCTCTAATGGAACGCCACATCCAGGACCACACCACCACGCCGTACTCCCCACCCTATGATTTACACGTATTTTGCTATCTGAACCCCTGGGTTAGTAACCCCCCGAGTCATTGGTATTCTTATGGGTATCTCAACCCCCACAAAATTCGATAGTTTAGTTCATACGATCATCACTCTTCCCGTTTGCGTCTCTACACTCCTCCTTTTGATTCAGTTGCTCTTATTGGCTGGTAAATCCTTGGTAATGCATAGCTGATTCAGGCCACTCCTGTTAGAAAACCGATAGAAATCCAACTACAGGGTAGGAATCTACTGCCGCTTTTTGGATATTCTGGCTACAAGCCACACTATCTAGTCAGACAATCGCGTGAATATTCCGCGACTGGGGCCTTAATATGACGGAGGACAGTGTGAACTATTACGGTGACTATCCTATCTAGATTTCATATAATTGCGCTAAATCTTCACCCAGAAAGACGAGCCGGGCAGGGATCTCCCGGACACCCTACCCCGCCTTTCCCCAACGCAACTAGACATCGTTAGGTATAATATCGTTAGGTATACCCGATCGACACCAGCCCGACACCAGCTATTGCCTACATCACTCCGTGCCTCGAGATGCTGAAGGACTCCATCCAAATTTCACAAAGACGTCAATTGAACATCGCTAATATGAGGGATTTCAATAAGAAGAGTAAGTCGCAGATCTGTAGTTTGCCTGGCACCGCTAACTGATATCATAGCGCCATGGACCAGAGTGTTCAAGGCATGCGAAAGCTGCCGACAACGGAAAGTGAAATGCGACGGGGCCCGGCCCTGTCATTCGTGTATTAAGCACTCGACTCCTTGCATTTTCCGCAAGAGCGCTAGGAGGCAGCTCGGAAACTCAAAACAGGTATTGCCGGCCGCTCAGAGCGTTGAGGAGAGTATATCACCGGATAGCGATAGTTGCACTTCCCAATCTACACGATCATGGAACGCGCAACAACGCAGTGATCTGCGATACGTTTTGCGAGCTCCCAAAACAAGTGAGGGCCGTTCGGGGCGAGGAAAAATCACCAGAATCTTCGGTCCGACGTCTCCCGTCGCTGTGCTCAATCTGATATTGGACTTGATCGCCGAATCGTACGGCTCTCACCACCATAACCTGACAGAAGGATCGCCGATTAGACAACATATAGATGTTCAGGAGTACCTTCGCCAGGCATTTGCCACAAATGATGTTCTCTGTTCACCATCGTTGAACCTTAGCCCGCCAGGCCCGTTAGACACAGTCCCTGTTCAGGTTCAGAGTCTTCTTCTCGAGCGATATATCAAAACTTCTTGGAAAATCCTCCCATTTCAATCCCCTGACAGTCTCCGTTCATGTCTTTCAAGGCTTTCTTACCAGCCAATCTCGCAGGATGAGGATAAGGCTCGTCGCTCGATTATGTTTCCTCTACTTGCCATTGGGTCAATCACTACCGGCCATGGGAACATTGGAGAAATGTTCATTAGAGAGGCACAGAGAAACAAAGCAACGCCGCTCTACATGGGTGACATCCTCGCTTTACAGAGTGATATGCTCATGATAAGTGACTTCTCATTCTTTAACTGTTGGGCAACTAAACTAACTGCCGCTATCCACGCCCAGTATCACACCGACTGCGGATCGTTTGAAGTAGCATGGATACAGTTAGGCGAAATATTCGCGAAATTTCTGGCAGCTGGAATGGACAGCCCAACACGATCAGCTCAAGAACAGGCCATCATCTCAGCGTTCTGCTGTACAGAAAGGTATGTGAACATGTTTCGACCTTGTAAGCAATTTACTGAATGCTCTTATAAGTTTATTGTGCATTGCTCTAGGCCGCAAAGCCGTGTTTTCTAGCAACCTGAAACATTTACCGAAAAGCGATAAAACAATTATTGGATTCATGCATCCATTCTTTCGCATTCTTGCCGACATCCAGAGCCTTTATCAGCAACAAAACCTGGATTTTATAGAACTATGGAGTGCTTTGCGCTCGCTTCATCAGCGTCTTGAAAACTTCTGGCTAATGGAAGACCCTTCCCAAGTCGCCCCAGAAGGAGATGAACCGAATATGGGAACAGTGTGTGAGTACAGACATCCACTCGTTAACCTCTCGAGAGCTATCTAACTCGATATCCAGTGTTCCAATACTCTTTGATCGTCCTATACAGACCGTTCTTACTAATTAAAGCAATGGAGTCACTTCGTAACATCAAATCTGGTTCGAGTCTGCACTACACTTCTGAAGGAAGTGAAACAGCAGCAATCATATCCGCAGCATGCGAATATGCCATTCGAGCTGCAACAAAGACCATTAACTTCTTTTCCCGATTATACAAAACGAGCTTAATACAAAAGGTTCAATATTTCTTAATTCTCTCGAAGCTAGCTTCAACTCGCTAACATGCTATAGAGTCTTCCTCTGAACGCGTTCTTCCTTGAAAATGCTTGCTATGCTCTACTCATCGATAGCTTATGGGGTGACAGGATGTCATTGCATTCGTCTCTCATCCATGCCTGTGTACATGCTATGGAACAGACACAGGAACAAAAGTTCACTTCAACGCGACTTCCCGTCATTAAACAAGTTCTACAGAAAGCTGGAATAATTCAAAACCCCGACGAGTTGCTTCCAAATTTCATACTATTGCAGTCTGGAGTCCCTTGGATGAATCAGTTTCTGGACAATCAATACGGCTTCCTATGAATGAGTCACACTCAAATTGTGGCTTAGTCAGTAATGAATTTCACAATATGTATGACTACCTCCTTGGTGACTGTACGTCAACCGTTAAATCTCATACCGTTTTTCGTAGCTCGGTCAAACGCCATAGCAGATTTCATCAACAGCGTACAGGTAAGCGGGGCCAGCGCAGTAGCTCAACATGATTTTTAGTCGGTCGGCTCTGATTCCTCCTTTCTTAGATTGCTCAGTCCCACTGCAGAGATTTGCCGGCATTTGACTTCGTGCCATACCTAGCGAGGAACGATCGATACTAATCTATAAGTGATTGACTCAAAACTTACATAGCCATGCCTACATCAACTCTGCTATTGCCGTCACGAAGCTGTGACAATCATAGAACCATGCTCACCAGAAAGGGAATCCCTAGGGAGCAATTTGAAATTGATTTAAACGAATGTTGTATCTAAGATGTAGGGACATTTCAAAAGCCTGAATCTGATGATTGGAGAAACTCTGTAGCCAGATACCCAACAAGACAATTTCTAGATATGAATCGAAAGGTCTTCTTCTGTTATTACGACATTATCCCTTGGGATACATCGCAAGTCATGACTGGGTCTGCTATTTTGACTTCTGTTCGGTTTTAGACCGATGGAACCCTCAGTGCGGGGAACCCATGCCGCATTAGACCCACAGAGATCCGATCTATCAGTCAGGACCCATCGAATTCCGAATGTAGGGAGTTTTAGGCCCGGTCGAATACTATGCGATATGTTGGGGAGTGAATTTGTGCAGCTTGATCCTGTACTCGGTATAATGAGCTAAAATGATGCTCCTAATCACTTCGTATCCTCAACATCGCCGTGAAGGGAATTGAAATTTGGCTCTTCCTCTGGGGACTTCTTGAAAGTAGGCAGAGTTGGAAATATTGGCTTGACGTACCATCAAAATCACGTTGGCAAGATGTTTGCTATTCCAATTGTAAAACTGTCATCGAGGGCTGATATGCTGACGCAAATAGTTATATTAATAACCCAGAAGTATTATGCATGACAATTTCAAGCAACTTGTGCGTGAGCAGGAGCTCCATCTGCTGGATTTTTGCCAGATTGACCCTGGACTACTCGTATATTGAGTATGTTCTATCAGTTCCATGAAACGGAACTATATGTCCTGGACTGATCTGTAAGGGTCGAATGAATTGGGAGTCCAATCATTCTGTCTTTGTTCCGATACTTTGTAGAAAAATGCCTTATTTCTCCAGATAGTCTAAGTTTCGGGAATTCGGAGTTTGGTGGATCCCGCGGCGGTTAATGAAGTGGATCTGGGGAGAGGGTTTCCGACACACCCACTCGCGGGAGGAGTATAGCAGGCCCTGGGCAACCTATCACTCCACTGACGAAGCCCAGCATCATCGCTACGCGCATTGAATTTGATGAGGACTCGGAAAGTGGAGCTTCTCGGCTCAAGTCCTAGTTTTTGATACTGCGGGCCCACATGAGGATTCAGCAGAGAATGGGCTCAATGCGACAAACCAATTTCCAGTGAATATCCTTCCGACACTCCGGCAGCCACCAATGTTAGCATTTTCTGGCATTTTCTGAGATGTGGAGTATGCTGCTGTAGTGGAAACAATAATTGTAGGACAGGAAATGACAACTCGGGATAATGATAGACCGATCTTGAGTTGATTAATGCCAGTCTTCGCAAATCCGTTGTTATGCCAGCAGGGTAAGTCGCGCTTAATGACTACTATAAATCTACAGCAGTCTCGCGATCCAACTCATTCGAAAAAGCAGAGCAAAGAGTGTTCATAAGCCGAACCTCCTTCCTTCAGTTTTGCAATGAGCGCTCTCAACTGGCTTGCCCTGGTGAATCTTCTTCAGATCCCAGCTGCTGTCTACGCAACACCATTTAGCCCATCCGATATTGTGAATCGTGATATTAGCATCGGTAAACTCTCAGTTCCGTCTACTTACGATGCGCCTCGTTTTCGTTGGTGGTGGCCTGGAGGCTGGATTGAGCCTTCAGTAGTTGAGAGCGAAATACAGGCCATTGCTGCGGCAGGATTTGGAGGTGGTGAGATAAGTGACGTTGAAGACAGCATCAAGGTACCTATGGATCCAAAAATTTATGGATGGGCAAGAGATAGATGGAATGCCGGAATGCTTGCTGCTTACAAGACGGCACAGAAGTCAGTATCTAGATTCAAACGCAATAGGAAGTTTCCGTCAGCTAAACATTGACAGGCTTGGTGTTTATGTGGACATGACTCTTGGTCCACACTGGCCAACAGGCGTTCCAGGATTCACACCCGATTCTCCAGAAACCTCCAAAGAACTAGTTCACGGACAGATCTTGGTCGCTGCAGGCAAGTCTTATTCGGGGCCCCTTCCTCTACCCGTTGCCGAACCATCCGGCAAAGAAACTGGGAACCCATCGATAAATGCAACCGCAAAGCTGGTTACTGTCCTAGCGGCGCGGACCAACGCAACTTCAGTCAATGACACAACAATTGTATTTGAGCCATCGACAGTGATGGATTTGACTACTTATTATCATAATAACCAACTGTCCTGGACTGCACCAAAGGATGGGGGCTATATCGTTGTTGCATTCTATGGCCGAGGGACGGGACAAATTCAAAATCTGTATGATGGAAACCCTGAGGCCCCAAAGGTCACTTATCCCTTTCCAGCGTACATCGTCGACCATCTGTCCAGCGCCGGCGTGGAGGCATCAGTGAATTACTGGAACGAGAACATCCTAAGCGACGAGCTGCGCCAGATTATGAAGAGTCAAGGAGGATCAATCTTTGAAGACTCACTTGAGCTGAAGTTGAAGCAGTATTGGACGCTCAACTTTATGGAAGAGTTCAAGAAGCGTCGAGGTTACGATTTGACTCCATATTTGTTCTACGTCATCCAAGATACCAACACATTCACAGGCGACAATGAAGTTGCAAGGAGAATTGTGTACGATTTCTACGCCACTGTCACGGATTTGTACATCGACTACCGTGTCCGAGGATTGAAGAAATTCGCTAATGGGCTTGGTCTCAAATTGCGTCTACAGCCTTACACAGCTACTGTTGACTCTTCGCGGGCAGCCTCCGCGCTTGATATTCCCGAGGGAGAGTCTCTCGGCTTTGAGGGAGACAATGACGCTTTCCGTGTTTTGGCGACAGGTCGAGACGTTGCCGGTCGCACTAAGATACTTTCTGACGAGCTGGGAGCGTACATGGGCAAGGCGTATGGAGTCACATGGAGCTTTCTTCTTGGTACGGCGAACTTGGATTACTCTCTCGGTGTCAGTCACGCAGTCATCCATGGCTCTCCGTACCGTGACTCTCCATCAAGCGTGTGGCCTGGCTTTGCCCCTTTCACGCCACTTGGCTCGACTAGCAATGGCTTCGCGGATGCGTGGGGTCCGCGCCAACCTCAATGGCTCTTTGCGCCAAATGCGAGCATATATATGGCCCGTGCTCATCAAACGCTGCAATCAGGTTCTCCTTCGGTGGATTTGGCCATTCTCAACACTGAATGGGGTGTGACGGCAACATGGGACGATACTGGATTGAACGATGCTGGTTATTCTTACCAGGTAAGACCGCTGTATACTTGATATTTGTCAATGTCGCCAACCAAATGATAGTTTCCAACCCCAGAGCTACTGGCAGAGTACTCAGCCACAGTCAATAACAAGCTTCTTCTTCCGGATGGCCCTCAGTATAGAGCCCTTTTGATCAACAACGTCACCTCTCTGAATTTAGATAGCGCGAGGCAAATTCTCTCTTACGCGAAGTCAGGTCTAGCTGTCGTTATCATTGGGAACGCTCCGTCACAGCCACAATCGTTCTGCACGGATTGCACCCAGGTCAAAAGCCAGATCCAGCAGACCTTTAAGGAAATAACTTCTTTGAAGACCACAAAGCGCGTCAATTCCGAGTCTGAGGCTCCCGCCGCTCTCAAAGCGTTGGGAATCCAGTCATCTGTCCGATACTCTTCAGCATCCAATGTATCCACCATCACGACCAAACGTCGTATCAGCGACTCTGAATCGATCTACTTCATCTACAGCTCATCCGCAATCAATGAGACAGTCTACCTCAAAGGAGAAGGTTATCCGCTCATGATGAATTTCTGGACTGGTGAAGTGAGACCCATTGTTGCATTCAACACGAACAATGGGTACACTGAAGTCAACTTGACCTTGGGCACGAATGCGGCACAGGCAATTTATCTTGGCAGAAGAAACCCATACGGCCTCCCCAATTTCAGCAAACATGTTATCACTACTGATGCAGAGGCTTTTGTCGAGTCGGGAAACATGTTCCTGAGATCGAGTCAAAACGGAACCTACACTGCGCAACTGTCGACCGGGCAAACTCTCAGTGTTGAATTCAATAACGTGCCAGTACCAGTAATCCCGACGTCTTGGACCTTATCCGTTGAGGACTGGGCTCCCACGTATATCAACGAAATTGGCCTCAACTCGTCTTTGACTAGCAAAACCATTTTGCCCAGTATCAAGCTGAGCAACCTCAAGCCCTGGACGAATATTACTGGTTTGGAATATGCAAGTGGCATCGGTACCTACAAGACAACAGTCGATCTATCTCTCCATCAGGAGAGCAAGGACTCTGGAGACACTCTTGCTGTTTCTATCAACATTGGTGATGTTGAAGGTAGTTGGGGCTTGAAAATCAATGGCGTGCAAGTGGAGGGCGTTGACTTCCTGTCTGGAGCACCGCTAAATGTCACTTCATACGTGAAGAATGGTCCAAATGGTATGTCCTATACAAACTGAGGGATGATCTGCATACTGACAGATTGCAGAAATTGAAATTACAGTTGCCACTACTCTGTGGAACAAACTGCGCAAGACCTGGCCTTCTATCTATGGATCTCTGGAAGCGCAGAATATTGGCTTGTTGGGGCCCGTCAGTTTCTCGTACTACACCCAGAAGCAGATTTAATGTCGAGTGTATTGACTGGAGAAATAATTTTTGGTTGTGCTGTGTCGTGGCAAACGTACTAAGGTCCTCCATATTTGCGACACTGGGAAATAGGTGTAGATAGACCAGCTATTTTCGAGCAGTCTGACTGGCGGAGACCGAATGGTATGAGGACAAGCACTGCACCTCCAGCACTTCTCCCTTCTCTCGCTTCTGTCCAGTCTCAGTATTCGGTGCAGAACGCACTCTTTTCCAAAAGATAGGCTCTTGTCACAATATTGGCGATTTATTTGAGAAAGAGCTGCGATTTTGAACAAGGGAAATCTATCTCTACCGGGGATGCGCTTCAATCTATATTTCTGGGGAGACTTCGAGTGACCAAAGCACAATCCGACAAGATTTAGTAAGTATTCCTCGACAACACATACCATACCAGAGCCAAAGGCGCACAGATGAGCCAAGGAAAACAGTAGAAAGAGAATCTTTGAGGCTGTCTCGATTTGAGGCCTATAGTTCTCTTTGATGCTGTTCCTTGCACACAGGTATCTCTCTTGTTAAGATAGAGGTGGAATGGTGCTCGTCTGGGATACATTACCTCGTCCAGCTATCTATTCCAAAGTTGGTAGAACAGCAGGGGCAGCTGGAGTGATGGAGAAGACTGCAAAAGAGGCTGTAGCGAAATTTATTTAAGCGGAGACTATACAGAGATGACGATGGTGAGAGCCACGAAAGGCCTCGGCGAGGTATCAAGGCCGCTTTATCTTCGCACCAATCTCTGACGCCTCAACCGCGCGATCGGGTTCCTGATTCTTGATAATACGGTCAATCTGAGAGAGCGATATCACGAAGATCTCAGCACCTTCCTTCTGCATATGTCGGTGAAATCCAACACCGCCGATCGCGGCGATATCAATACTTTAACGTAGTAAGTTATCCACCTTCTTCTTTAGTGTCTGTGGGATAATCAATTCACCGCGCAACGCACGATCCATCTTCCTCGCCAGTTTCAAAGGCTGTTCAACGAACGGCTCGATCGGGGTGGTCTTGAGGTATGGCATCTACTGCCATGTCCGCAACCTCTACCGCACGGTTGAGATCGTCTATCGCGCCGGTCCTGTGAGGACTCAAGCCGAACTAGATCAATTGGGCGTGGTCGACAATCTTTCTATCGAAGGCTTGAAGGGAAGTAAACACAAGGGGTCTCAAGACGGCTGAGTAGAGGAGACTTTACGTGACACATGTGATCAACATAGGGCTCTGGCCCGTTACAGGTCCATTAAAAATGATATAGTTGGTGGTGATAAAGTGGTTTCGTATTCACTACCGCACTCACGTCCTCAATGCCTCAAACCTGAGAATGATTAGCACGGTTAAAGCTGAATCCAATTATGAAAGCCTACTCAAGTTTTAGTTTTTGCTGCTGATCGAGGAGACGCTTCCAAGGTACAAGTATCTGGGGCTCGCCCTCTTCCGGTACCGAGATTGCGATTGATGAGACGGTTCAATCCTCCTCGAGAGACGGACTATCTGCTAGTGCCGATGGCTCTTCCCGGATTAGCGGAAGAGGATGCAAGCAAAGAAAACTACTGTTCTTTTTACTCCTGTGCTAGTACGTTGACATGATCGACCTTGAACAAATTACTCAGTTTGGGCTAGTGCTCCAACATAGGCTGGTCGAAGATGTACGACGCAGTTGTTGCCGTGTGATTTGGAACTGTTACCACGCGGATTTCAGTTTTGCCATAAGTTACGGGATGTCAATGCCTAAAAGGCGATATAGCTGTCGCAGCACCAGGATTGGTAGATATCCGGAGAAAGGAGGTACTGTATAACAACTAACTATCCGGCATAATTAGTCACGTTTATGCCCACCTAAATTGCCAGACCGAGGCCTTGTAGCGATTCAGACCTATTATGATTCATTGGCGCACCCACATGCCTTATTCATTTCTGTTCTGACAATAGCTTAGTTTCTTGAGGCAAGGGAATACATTAACTGTCCGCGCGACGTCTAATAACAAGCACACACTAACTACTAAACAGGGGGATGCACTAACGGCAGTCTGAGCAAAACAGACAGGTTGCGGCACAACGAGATAACCACCACCAAACAGAGGAAGTAGGTTAGGCCGCTCAGGTAGCACCGAGGACAGAAGAGATAGAATACTCTGGCTAAGAAGACCGCTTCACCGCGCAAGATCCCCATTCCTCTGAAAGCCCTGTAACCTGTAGGGTACTCGAGAAAAGGATGCGGAGAGGATCAATCGATCGAGCGTAATGAACGACTAGGAAGAGCAATCTGCTTCGAACGGTCGGCTGTCCCATGAAGCAGCTCCCAACCATCTTCCTGAACAGCGAATTTTCTCCTTGAACAAACGAGAAGGTGTTGATTAAATCAAAAACGCTGTATGCCAAGAACGCAAGCCAGACCCGAGCACTCAATACTAACAGCCTACTACAGACCCGTCAGCGGTTCCCCCACTACACTACGTACTTTAACCCAAGGCGACATTGAAGTCAGCCTCGCCGTTGACTTGGCCAATCCTGGGTTAGGATTCAATGGATCGGCAAGTGCAAAGAGAGCACGGTTTCAGCCTGATCAAGGTGAACCACTGAAGCTGCATCTAAGCCCAGGTGAGAGGGGGTTCGTGCGGTGGTCGCGCGACGCAGGGTGATTCTCACCCGCTCTCACCCTGTTTATTGCGTTCTCACCCTAACTCACACCCGGTCGCGCGACCATAAAGCGGCCTCACCTGCTAGCTCACCCGAGTGGCACCCACCCGCGCCTTCTGGCCGCGTTTAAGCCACACGCCGGGAGGTTAGTAGTTGGGTGGGTCATTGTGTGTGGTGTGGCGAACTAGCTCACCAATGCGTCCTACCCGATGAGATAAACAGGCTTTGCCTACTTCGGTTTCTTTAAAATCGAGAATAAGTCTTTGCGGTATCTTGCAATTCAGTAGTTCTCCCTTAGAGGGAACTCCTGGGACAGTACTCAGTTCTAATTTAGTATTACATGCAGGAAGGCAGTGTCACGCCACGGAGACATCCATCGGCTTGGGGCAACCGTAGTACGCGCATGTCCATGAACGGAACGAAACAATGGGAGTCATGATCTTGATGTAATGATTGGGGTATAGGGATGTAGGCAGTTAGCACTAACTCCCCAGTGATTTGAAATGCTATAACTTCATCATTGGCCGGGTGCTTTGACCGGCAATTGCTCCTAAGACGGAAAAAAGCAGAGAATTTGCAAAGGTCTCCTATCTGGGGCTATTCTAAATGTTGTCTGGGATGGCTGAGTGTCTAAGTGGACCTCTCTTTGGCTTTGTTGGCTTTGAAGAGTATGTAACGATCGCAAGTGGAGAGGAACTCGGGAAAACACTGTTATGGTACCGCAACAAGACTGTACTGTTGCAGCATCTTTCCTGGGTGGGCAATAGAGGAACCGACGGTTTGATTGTTATTACGTCCGAAAAATCCAGTTTAGTGCATTTAGTGGTCCAAAAGTCTGTTTCTCACTCATAGATACGGAAAATGGGCAGGCATGTCCCATTTTCCCAGAGTATGATATCATATAATCGAATAGCATCATCGTTCACCCATTTTCCTGCTTCTTTCTACGGTATCCTCGCCTATGAATCTGTTTCCGGCAAACGCACAAATGCCCTTGGTCATCGCAAACTGAAGTAGCACATTCGTTGCAAGTACCAGGCATGCTCGAGATCTCCTGACCAGTTTCTTCCGGAGGAAAGTCGAATGCTATGACATAGTTGATGCTACATACTTCGAGTCATGATATCGAATGTTAAATGGTAGTATTCATGATCACAAAAATGGGTTTTCTATACCCTTTTCGGTCACTGTACCAATAGGAATGTGTAGTCAACCTCTTGCGAACATAGGCTGGGCAATGTCCTGGCCACTGACGGAAGCGTAGCTGGAAGCTCCCTAGCCGAATATAGTAAGCCCGAATGAGGGAGAACATAGATTGAGTGACATGCTTCCCCAGATAAGACAACCATCGTCTTCGTGTTGCTGACATTACCAGCACCGTTAACCCTGTCTCTCAAGGAAGGGATGTCTAGGTGATGAATCAGTGAAAAACCCCTTGAAACCTACGCTCCTCTGAATTACAGCTAATAGGAGTCCTGTTTCTGTTGAATTCACTTGGCTTCTACCTTGCCTAGACACTCGCCTTTGAGGGCAGGAATTCCATATACGTGTAATAAAACGGCGGTTCATTAATACAAGGCTCGTTATTTTCAAACGTGAGAAATTACCACGGTATTCGGATCGGTAACCGACCGGAATTTGGCGCTAAGAAATGACCAAACCTTATCGTCGAGGAGACAGGCGGGGCCCCAAACCCCCCAAGAACCCCCTTGCGTTGCCAGTTATGGACTAGGTAAATGATAGACAAGTCATATCAATTTAGAATTCGCACTAACCACTGCTTACTTAGGGTTCATTCCAACTATTTCGAATCTCGTGCCTGGCATGATGGCGCCCTTGGCTTCTTCTTTTTCTTGGTGGCTTGGAAGGGTTGGTGGCAATACCTGTCATGATTCGAAGGGTTTGAGGGCTTTGTTAGCTGTGCAATGGATACAGCAAGCCTTTCCAGTTTCATTCCCCTGTGGGTGAGCCTTTGTTGGATTTTTTTCTTTTTTTGGGGGGGTTGGGTTCTGCGTTACTTGGGGTTAGATTTCTGACGATTGGGTCTGATTCGGAGGGCCAATATGACCTCAGTTATCGAATATACTACTGCCCTGTGATTACTAGATCACTGTGATGAAACCCCATTATTATAGACATAAATGATAGCTTATATTAGTACCTGCAGGGTAAACTGTACCACTTGCGTCCATTGAAGCCATATCGTTTGCCGTAGAATTTGTGACTAATGATCATATTCATCAACTTATGGCTTTCATTTGCTTCCTACTCTACCCTATAGTCTTACAGTTGACCCAAATAGTAGTTTTGAATCATAAATGCTCTTTATATTTGATTATTGTCTGATTTCTATTGATTACAAGTAGCTTCTGTCTTTATTGGCCTCTTCTGTCCAAGTTATCATAATGTACTAAACGACGGCACACAACTACTATTTGTGCAAAGATATAATTATATATATATATATAGGCCCCTTCCTGGTATGTATTGCACCTCATATGGTACTACAATCTCGGCACAAGCTAGCTATATTTCATATATTGCTCCTCAAATTTACTCTAGGTGATTAGAGATCTGAATACAATATATGTATCGCAACCAAACGTGTGTAATAGCCATCCACTAGATAACAGCATGCAATAAACTGCCTAATATTACGGGTATATTGACCTGCACGTAGCATGCTCTAGACTTTCGCGGACTTATGCTGTTGAAATCTCACACATATACTTTGGTAATTGCATGAGCAGATTAAGATTGTGTGAGTGAGTACAAGAGTTCCAATGGAGATTTCTAGGTGAAGAGGTGATGTTAAAACAGCATTGTGTTCGTTGTCATTGTAATCTGCTATAACTATCCTTCATGACTAGCTATGAATGATTCCACGATAAACGTCAAGGTCTAGCTTTTCCCATAATTATAGGTCCCTGATAACACAGAAAGCTCAGCATCATGAGCTTCCCTGTGCTACAGTTACCGTAGGTATTATCCAGCCCCGAAATCATCTTCCCCTACAACCCGGCCACAAAGTCACAATGAAGTATACCCGTTTGCCAAGCGCAAAACATGTATACTTCGCCGTGGCTTCGTGGATGAGACGAAGAGAAGAGACGTGGTAGATGGAGCCGGAAACCAAACTACAACTCGCAGCCAAGCGAAGCTCTGGAGAAGAAAAGAAAAGAGAGATCGAAACTCAAGGGTGCTTGTTTATATATCTCTCGAAGTGCTTAATCACTTGCCTTACTGCGCCCCTGGTACCTCGCAGGCTCCAAGACTTCGCATTCCTTGCCCGCTTTCAGACGGTAGTCCGTAGTCGTGAAGTAAACTAACGCGAATGCGAACTGACTCTCTGGCTTCCAAGGGGTGCACAGTGAATACCCCAAAGCAATTTGGAATTTCGAGACATTATTAGACATTATCAGACAAATTTTCAAAGGCTACTCGAGTGTCTGACAATTTTCAGGGCAGGCAAATTGTTGCCTTGCTAAGGGTCATATGAGATGGATTTGCTGAGATCCAGTACCTCGTGTCTACAGACACCAAAAAAATCTTAGTATCGCCTAGCATTTTTAGCATTCAATCTTGGCGAAGGGGCAATCTAGATACTGTCTAATCCCTGTATAGGACTTAGAGAGACGAACCTTGAGGATAGTTTACAGAAGATCACCGGAACGGTGGCTGAGACCCAACAATGAAGGGAGATTGACTGATAGTGCGAAGTAACCCCGAAACATACGAAATTAGGCTCAATGAAACCTGTTTTCTCGATATTCCCGACTCGGCTTGAATTGTTACCATAAACTGAAGTGGATTCCCTTGCCACTAACAAGCTTCTGTACTGAAAGCATGAATGAAGCTCATGCAAACGTGTAAAGCACATAACTGCACTGCGGGTGGGAGGACTGCAAGGTACCATTCTAGCCTTCGCTTCCATACAGCCGGGCTAAGAAAAAAGGTATTTCTAGCAAAAGCAGGTGCAGCGTTGACACAGGGTACTCCGCCAAGCTATTAAAGCCTCGTTAAACAGACTCATATACTACACTGGTACGATACAAGGGATGTAATCAGAGTCGTGAACTTGTTACATTGAAACTCCTCGGTCCATACTGAGCAAGGAATCCTTCTGGTCATCCACCCGCCAAGTCAGAACCTCAGCTGTTTGCGTCTAGGCACACGCGTACATTCCCGTTCTAACCATGGCAGATCTATCTTCATATCCTTGGAAGGGTCATAGATTCAAGGCACAATTCTGTAAAGACATTGAGGTTTAGATGATCGTCGTTAACTGGTATGGGAGAGCGAGAATTGGATGTCTCAGTCACAGTGACCCCCATAACTCGAGAATTTTGTAGGGGCTCGCAGCAATCCAAGTACTAAACATAGTAAGAGAATGAGAGAGGGGAGTCTCCACCTCGAGCTATAAATCTCGTCGAAATCCCCTGCTAAAAGTATCATTCATCATCAACCATTCACTCGCTCATCAAAGCATTACTTCTCTGTCTCTCTCTCTCTCTCTGAACACTCGTTTCTATAGAACACTCGTTCAATTTTCCAACCACCTTTCAAAATGAAGTTCGCTGTCGCTGCTATCCTTGGCTTCGCCATGACTGCCGTTGCCATCCCGGCCGCTAAGGGAAGCCAGAAGAAGCTGTCCATCGACGACGCTTCCGGCCAATGCTCGATTGGGGACATCTACTGCTGCAATCCCAGCAACAGTGAGGACACTGACGGTTTTCTGAACAATGCACTCAGGGAGGGTCTTCTTATTGGAAGTCTCGTCAATGGCAAGGGATCTGCCTGTGCTCCCACTTCGCTGATTGGGGATCTCAATCTGCTTGGTAAGGCTAGATCATATTTCAAGAGAGACAACAAAGAACAAACTAACAATCCTTAGCCTTTTTCGAAGAGGGACAGGATGACGATAAGTCCTACTGCAAAAACACCATCGCCTGCTGCCCCAACGGAAGCGTAAGTCCATCATCAGCCACTATGACCTCTGATAGAAAGTAAAAGTTTTGCTGACTTGGAATCTTACATCAACAGTGCGCAGCCCTTGACGGATACTAGGGGCTTCCTAATCAGCAACATTGGCCTCATGCAGATGACGCAGGCTCAACTGCAGCGATTCGCTTGGGATCAAGCTTCGTGGAGTTTCCATATCAGCTCCATCTGCTAAGTGATTTCGTGTTAATGGCCCAGGCATTCAAGACCTTGATCGGCCGATGTTCTTTTGGATTTTGTGTCTTTTTAGACTAGAGTTTAGTTTAGCTTAATAAAAAGAAAGGGTTTCGTCCGTTTCGCATACAACTCCAACAGGATTGTAGCTTGCTTGGAACCGATAGATTTAGTACGCCTTTGAGGGTCCAGAAATGAAGCCCCTCTGTATACCTCGAAGAAACGCACAAGTAAATTCTCATACCACTATCTTGTACATCAAGCCATGGCTTAAGATTCAGACTGTTCTACAAAGTCTTGTGTCGAGCACTCCACGTCTGCGCGACCTTGCTGCGGACTTTCGTCCAGCAGAAATGGCAGCATAACTTTTATTGCACTCACAAGCCCGGTGTCCTCCGATAATTAGTCCCCATATAGTGCTTTTCCGATCCCTACGATGTCAAAATACGTTCTGAAATAAAGTGGCAATGTCTATTGACGAACAAGTCCGAAGGGATATAATCTGGGGTTTGACAGCATATTTGCGCGAATTTCTACGCAAGTAGACAACCTCAACTGGGATGTTAGACTGGCTTGCATTACAGGAGAAGTCAATAGTAGACAAGACACACCGAAGGGGTATCTTTGACCGATTTAGACTGCCAGGCTACTGCGCACTGACCTCTGCGTCTTTTTGGTGGGGGGGGTACATTCAAAAACGTTCTAGCCCATATTTCCAGCCCTAATTTTGTATTCGCTTCCTAAAGGCGATCCTAGCTGCATGCAGCAATGTCTCACTCTCCAAATGACTCGCATCTTGTTCAGATCAGGAAACAGATCGCTAGGGAGCTAAGCCGCATCAGGGCTATCGATGGTGGCGTATGTAATGCCGCCACGGATCATACGACGTTAGATACCTTACATACCTTACCATTATGGTCTGTATTTATAACACTATGTAATTTTCAACGTAAGGATTGTGCCGGCTGTCACGGTTCGGTTGCAGTGGCTAGGACCCGGACTTTTTCTTAAATTCCTTTACTTACTGGTAGACACTTTTCAGGCATAGCATACCGAGACCAATGTCATTGATTTCAGGAGGAATAGTTGCCCCTTGGTGCCTTGGATATGTCCTTCAGTTGGGTGAGAAAGCCGCCATTTCAGGGTGTTTGAACGATCTTAACCGACTAGCAGTTCGGCGCTGTCTCTTACCTATATAGTAGCAGAAGACGAAATTTGGCTGCACTTTTCATAGCAGCAGTCATCGTGATATAATGAGTGACAATTGCGTCAGGCCACCCAAAAGGCCTGGGTATGGTACTCTGGGTCACTCAATCAATCTTTATGCAAATTATTTTCAGTTGAACTTCCAGCCTGATCTCCAATTACACCGGTATGAAGTGCGCGTTTCACGATCAGAGCCAGATGCGGTCGTGATTGTGAGCAGACAAGTAGTGACCCAGGTGATCCTCCAGCTTCTCAAGACGGAGCTTGTGCAGTTCCAGGAGAGCATTGCCTCCGATGGCTACCAGAACCTCATCTCAAGTCGCATCTTACCTTGCTATGACGGTCCCTATAATGTGGTGTACCAGCATAATTGCTATCAAGTCACGCTACTTCCAGCTGGAATCCTTCAGTTTCCCCAGCTTTATAAAATGCTCAGAGGTGATGCCAGGAACCAAGGGCCACCGCTGACCGAAGCACATATTCATGCGTTGAATATCATTCTGGGACACCAACCCAAATTCTCACCACACATCAGATCTGCCGGCACGGGAACTTATCTCAACCTCGACTCGCGGATGAGCCTAGGTTCAGGGCTACATATTCTCCGGGGACTATTCATCGTCGCTCGTGAAGCGCAGGGCCGGCTGTTTGTCAATGCAGCCCCAAAAATTGCAATCTGCTACGATGACTGCCCGCTCGACAAGATCATTCTGATGCACATGCGCCAAAGTGGACCAGATATGAATAAAGTTGCTGCACTGCTTCGAAATCTCCGCGTTCAGCTTACGCACCTGGGCATGCGTAAACGTGCCGGAAAATTCGCGCCGCGGCTCAAAACAGTAATGGGTTTGGCAGCACCAGGAGATGGTTACAGTCTGGCATATCCCCCTAAGGTGCCATGCCTCGGGGCAGGAGCTAAAGAAGTCCAGTTCTTCCGCGAATCACGCTCACAAGGCCACGATGTTGAGGACGTAACGGTTTTGGGAAGTCGAAAAAGAAAGCGACCTACGCCTGAAGGCTATATCACTATTTTCGAATACTTTCGGTCAGGTAAGAAATTGATTCGCGCCGTTACTAGCCTGGGTTCTGACCGAATTACTTCATAGTCTATAATATTACTGTGAGCGATCCATGGCTTCCCGTTGTCAACGTTGGGTCCCCTTCGAATCCTTCCTACTTGCCTGCTCAAGTCTGTCTGGTACTTCCTGGTCAGTCTGTGGCTGCATCTATAGCCGCCTCTCAGTCTCGTCAAGGCGTCCGTATCGATCCATCTCGTCGTGGGACCAGAAGCACTGCGGTTTCTCAGATCACCTCAATAGAGACAGAGCTCTCAGATATCTTGGGCATGTGTCACCCCAATAGAGGAGCGAACTTGGTAAGTGGTAGTTTGAATGACCTGACAAATTTAGTGACCAGCACTAACTCAATGTATATACTCAGACTTCATTCGGAATCACTGTTGCACCGAGCATGGCGAGAGTGTCTGGTCGCGTTTTGGACTCCCCTGCTTTAGAATATCGTCAGGGACAGCGAGCCTCTGTGCGCGCAGGAGGCTGGAATCTACGTGGAATGAAATTTGCCGGGAGCACGTCAGTCTCCCAGTGGACCTATTTATGGCTTTCGACGCCCAATCGCTCCCATGGTATAGGTCCAGAAAAAGCTCTCATGGAAGTCGCTATACGGAAGTTCCGCACACATTTGAAGTCACTCGGCCTCAATATCCCTGAGCCTAGTTGGCCGGGTATCTATGTCAGCGTGAGTGATAGTGCTTTACGACGCGAAAGTGATGCCGACAAGCTAGCCCATGCTCTCGCGGCCATAGTCGAGTCATCAATGTCATTCCTATTGATTATTCTTCCACAAGCTGCAGAAGGTCTTTACAGCAGAATCAAGTTTCTTTGCGATGTTCAATTTGGTATACGGAATGTATGCGTGGTGGCGGACAAGTTCCTTCGATCCAATGAACAATTCCTGTCGAATGTTGCTCTGAAGCTCAACCTGAAGCTTGGAGGGATTAACCAGAAGTTGCTTGCTCGAAGCCTTGACATAATAAGTGACGGCAAAACTATGGTAGTTGGGGTTGATGTAACGCATCCAAATTCAGGGAATCTTCCAGCACGGGCTCCCAGCGTGGCCGCCATGGTAGCCTCTGTGGATCGTTACTTGGCGCAATGGCCAGCAGAGATATGCACTCAACCCGCCCGTCAAGAGCTGGTCACACAGCTTGGTGTACTTCTCACCTCGAGGCTACATGCATGGCAGAGGCGGAACCATGGAAAGCTCCCTGAAAATATCCTGCTATACCGCGATGGCGTTTCAGATACACAATATGGTAGTGTCCTCAGCGTGGAGCTCCCTCAGCTACGCAAAGCATGCAGAGACTTATACGGTAGTCTGAGTCTAAATCAGCCTCGAATCACCATTGTCATTGTGGGAAAACGACATCACACCCGATTTTTCACGCCCACGAGGACAGGTCAGCGCAATGGCCGGTCATTTCAAGACACCAATCCCCCCAACGGCACCATCGTTGATCACGGTCCGGCCATTAGCAGTAGGGTCTGGGACTTTTACTTACAGTCTCATACTGCCAGCCGAGGAACCGCTCGCCCTGCACACTACGTGGTGCTCCTCGATGAAATTTTTCAGTCCTCTCCCAACGATCTGCAGGCTAGAGCCCCTCCTAATCCGGCTAATGCCATCCAAGCCTTGACCCACAATATATGCTACGTCTCTGGTCGCGCAACAAGGGCATCTAGCATCTGTCCGCCTGTGTTTTATGCCGATCTTGCGTGCTTCCGAGCGCGCTTCTATGTGGAGGAGCTGCTTCGTCGATCCTCCCGAGACGCTGGGTACGTGTTTACTCCGGATCAGCTGCAACTAACTTTGCATGAAAATGTGAAGGATACCATGTTCTATATTTGAGCGTGTGGGCCACGTAAAATTGTGCAGTGGCCTTTCGAGCAGTGGAGGTATGAGATTGGCAAACAAGTGGCTGTAATGTTACCATCTGTAAATTTTAACTTACCGTTCTTACCGTATGGCGTAAGCCGCCCGTTCTCCGCCGGCCGAATACGGAACGTGTCAGTTTCAAATCGAGGGAAGGGATAGACCCTCCCAACAATGACAGCAGCGAAACCGAACCTTTTTCAAACGTCAATTTGAATGGCTCAATTGCGATTAGTTAGGCATTATTTACTACTAGCATTTATAAGTCTCTGAGACTAAAGCAGTTAAGATGAGTTTCGTTAAAAAGAACTTTGCGAACAATACTGTGGCAAAACGTTGTAAAACAAGATTTCAGGAGCTCCAAAGTTCTCATTGGCTGGACCGGTCCGTCTAAAGTTTCCCCAAGCCCACGGCAGCTTTTATTGGTCGATTCCTCCTTCCATCCATAATAGGCAACCGCCAAAATACCCCCAGATCTATCGGGCTCCTGCCAGTTAGGGCTTACGGTTGCGTTCCCCCTTGAGTGCCAGAGGAGGTCATAGTCCCAGCCCCACAAGTGTCTCGATGTCAAGATTGCCTGTGCTCATATCTTTGCTGTCATGGCTCGCCAGATCCTATCTCAAATACTTGGCCCCATTGCATGCCTGCCTGCAGCTACCACCCCCTGCGATCCTTCGCTTCAGTAAGGCCAAACTAATAGATCGCCACTGTGGCTCCAATTTAGCTCTTGTGGGTGTGCAGCACAAGAAATGTGCTGGTGGAGGGTTGGCAGGTTACTGGAATCAACTAACATCTTAGCTATTCTTCCTCCTGCCATCGGAGTATTCTACTCCACATTGGATTTCCTGCACCACGTACGAAATAAACCACGTACGAAATGTAGCATGCTTACCTCTATCGTTAACTTTCGTCTTGTCTCTCCACAATTGAGAACAGAAATGAATGCAAGACAACGCTCGACTATCACTCTAGTCCTCGTTTCTCCGCGGGATGAGGCTACGATTGATCATCCATTCCATTTTCTGAACTCATGAGAAAATAGCCACCAACATCTAGCCTGAATAGACCTAGCACATACTGTCTCAGGCCCATTGAAGCCCGGTAACATTCAGGGGCCTTTTACATCCATACCTGAGTCACATCGTTCCTGTCTACAGTCGAACGCTCCACTATCCATCCCTGGAGTCTTCGTCATCAGAATCAAGTTCTCATGGAGAATCTCAGAACATGGAGAAAGAATGAAGTCTTCCCAAACTAGGAGTAACCGTTTTCGGTCGAGGAGCTACTTGCACACAGCAACGAGGACCCCTTGTAACATATCTCCACCAGAGCCGAAGGGAGCAGATGAATCTATTCCAACCGAAGGAGGTTTGGAATGGAGGTCTAGGTTCTCCCTGGGAGAAGAGAACGAGAACAGACCAGGCTTCAGGAACGTTGCATTATTGGATCGACCTCTCCTCCTCGCAATTGTGATCCAGAGACCTCTGTCAACGGTTATAAAAGGGTCCCAGTATCCCGGTCAAGTCAGTCTCTCATCCATCCATCAATCATCCATCACTCCAAGCCATCACATCAAGCCTTCCTCACAGTTCTCTTTCAAGTCCGATTTCTTCAATCACCAAGCCAAAATGCAGTTCACTCTCACCAAAGTTCTTGCCTTCGCCCTCGCTGTGGCCACCGGCGTTTCTGCTGGCGCTGTCGCTGATTCCCAGGCCATCAAGCAACAGACTGAGGGAAAGTGCGATATTGGCAACGTGTCTTGCTGCAACCCAACCAACGTCGACAAGACTGATGGCCTCCTCAACAACCTACTCGAGTGGGGTGTCGTCGGCAGTCTGGTCAACGGCCAAGGAAGCGCTTGCGCTCCGGTCAGCCTCATTGATGAGCTTGGTATTCTGGGTATGACTGATCCTTTACATTCAAATCAAACCTTAGCCTTGAAAGATACATCACTGACATTCATAAACGCATGTAACAGCCCTCGTCAAGGATACCCCCGATGGACCGGTCTGCGAGAACGTCATTGCTTGCTGCCCTGGCCAGGGTGCTCAGGTACGTTTGCCTCTTATCTTTTCTTCCTTTCCAGCTACATTGGTCTTTCTTGTCTCTGAGGTAGTTCTGTTCATGACTAATATGGCTGTTTCTGTGCAGTGTGTCGCCATCGGTGACGGCTCTGGCTCTGGCTCCGGCTACAGCGACTAAGCGGGCTCACGTCCCTCGTCTAATATACGGTTTCAGTCTCGGTGACTGACATACTCGACTCAGGAATAATATGAAGCAAGCTCAACTCCTGATTTTGCTCTCCCGAGAAAAGTGTCTTGTTGGGCTGTGCCGGTGTTGAGTGGACTCCATTGTTTGTTTAGATAAAGATTGCTTTAGGGTAGTACAGTGCGATTTCTTATGAGGAATTGTCACTTTAGTTTAGTCTCAATTATATGTGCTTTTAGTAATCTTTGTTTCTTGGATACTTGTATTGAGTGAGATCACTTTCTAGAGAGCATTCGTAATGCATAGACGTCGCCTCGGTTTCTTGTGTGTAATGCAATAGCTCTTATCCAAGATACTTCAATAAGTATTTACAACTTGGCAGCAATAATGATAATCTAGCAGTTGCTAATACATCATCGAAAAGACGCACTTCTTTGGTTGCAGACAAAATTTGCCTTGTGAGCTATGATTAAAACACCAATGAGATACAACCTGTCATAGCCAAACATCTTTGAATATTCGCGAGAGCTTTTTCTCGGTATAATATGTCTGGTGTCATAATTAGTGATAATGTCAGAGTAGAAATAATATACTGCATATAATATATATATATTCAGTACCACTACTTGATACATGCACTATCTTCGAACTCAACTACTGAACCATCTCTGCATGTCTGTCCTTTGTCGATACGGGAAAACGTGATTTTGAACCCCTTAGTTCTTTCAAGTCTACACATACTGATTATGCTCTGTGTATAGTGGTAGAGCCTGGATAGTATACCTGTCCAGGAAAATATATTCTCACAACAGGAACAGAGGGGGACATCATTCGTATCGCACGAGTGCAGATCATTTAAATGAATATGTTAGGACTTGGCAATGAACTACAACTGAATAACAGCTAGGCTCATATCTCATGGGAAGTGTGGTTTATGGCATTGAGTAGACTATTTAACTATCCCATCCCATTGGCAGTCTATGCATGCCTGAGGTATTGATATGACTGTTCAAGTAGTCTTTAGGGTATCGACGTACAGATATATAAGCTGACTACTAGGCACTAAGTTCTGATTTTGATTTGAAGAGATTATACAGCAGCACCCTTCGCTTTGCTTCACCAAACACGAGCTTCATTTGATGACCTCTGTATGTTGGGGCCTGAGGCTTTAAAGTTCAACACCACGTGATGTCTAAGACATCTTTGATGTGCCTGAGGCTGCGAAAAGGGCGTCATGGGGAAGAAGTCCTTCTCGAATGCTGTGGAAAGGTTGAGTAGATATCATGATGATTTCATATACACCATGCTTCTCTAGAATCTCTCAGAAAAGTCTTCCTGCTGCCCTGTGAGGCGAAGTGTGGCAAAAAGTGGCGTAAGCGGATGCCGGGGTGTGGAGTTGTCTTTTGTAAAGGATGGATACTTATACGGGCCGAATCTTGCCTCCGCGTATCTCATTGATCGGCAATTCCACCGCCTACAGCTCTCTGCCTCTTTTGTACCCCATCAAAATCGCGCACTTGACCTATTATCGACCATCTCTATCAGCCAATTCTTTGTACTTGAAAAAATCCTGTCAACGAGATGATAGAAGCAAGAAGGGGATAACAGGATTCACTGCCCCCCCTGCAGCCCCTGCGGGGTACAAAGGACAAAGAAGGAATATTTTGCGATCACAGAAGTAGTGGGCTGGCAGAATCCAGAGATCCGCTGATAACGCTAGCGCTCTGTTTCGCACTGTGCCAAAGTAGGAATTTTTTGCGATATTGGTGGACTGGCAGAATGCTGGGCCCCACTAATACAACTCCAAAGTACGGAGTACTAACGGTCTTTATAGACATGTTCAAAGGGACAGCATTGTGACATAGTGGCCTTGTCATTGCTGGTCATTGCCACAGTGAAAGCGAAGGTCGGTGATTTACGAATCCTTTGCACTTAAGTAACTGATAATGCTGAAAATTATCGGATTTTCCGCCACTATAGAAGTGGAATTAGGAATATCAATTGAGAAGCATATCCATCTGATGTGGGATGAACAACGATAGTAGACAGACTCGTAGTTTTGTGTTCCTTCTGCAGGACAAGCGTATGATGCTAGTCAACAGTAAAGATGAATTGCCGTAAGACTAATCGGTTGAGGAGCTTGAGATGCCGACAAACACTATAAGCAACCGTCAATAAGCACTATTTTAATCCGCTCATGATCACAGACAAGCTACTTGTCATCTGCTGAAATATGTGATTGGACTGAAGTGATTAGCGAAGTTCTTCAGTTGTCAATTGTGATTGATAATAATGTTGTTTCCAATTCGGTTTGTGTGTGTGTGTTTGTTGTGGTGGTGGGTCTCGAAGATCTCTATGATAAGAACCAGAGTTGGGACTATCGTGGACACCCCACGTTTTCCGCAATGACTTTCCCCTTGGATGTGGGTTTACAGCTCCGACGGGGTTAGGGGAAACTCCGCGGGGTTGAAGTCGGCCGATACTGTTTAGGGGTATCTGTCTACTCCATAGCTTTTCTTGTCATCTACTGTTTCAAGCAGGTGGGCAGAAGGGATCAGAGTTTTTTCTATTAATAATTATGCAGGGATAGTCAGTCACCTGACATCCTCTTTAATTGAATTTCGGAGTTTTAATAAGGTTGGATGCCTGGCGATGCCTGATAATGCCTGGTTCAACAGGAGCTTCGTAATTTAATCGCTTTCTCAATACTAATTGGTTATGGACGGGACCAAAAGTTACTGTAGGGAAGACGTTGAGCTGGATATCTTGGCTCATTTCCACCGCAGTCCTCGTACTTTGTACACCTCAGAGAAGGAGAGGAATATTTCAAGCTCACCGAGAGCCATTGAAACACCGACCAGGTCCTCGAGGGCCCAGAACAGGCAGAATAAGCCAGAACAGCCCGATCAGCCAGATCATGGAGGGTCGGGGCAATTAAAGGGGGTCAGGTGATGCAGTCAGGTGGCACATGTTCGGTATCAAAAGGGGCAGGTGAGATATGAAGTATCAGAAAATCTCCCAAGACTAAAGGAAAAAAGAAAAAATCTCTGATGGCCACCCGCACTAAAAGCTGACCCCGGACAAAGTACGTTATGCATCTTGGTCGGGATTGAAATTGGACTGGTCAGGGGCTGAGAAATCCTGGAGCATCCCGCGGCTGCCGACCGATCACCTGACGGTCTAGAATTGTTCTGCTTCGTAGCCCTTATTCACTTGGTCCTATATACAGTAATACTCACTGTGCTCCGTAGCTATCCAGCTATCTACTTTGTACAAGTGGACTTTCTTAATTTAAAAATGTGCAGGGATTAAGGTTCGTCCGAGAGTGTCCGGTGATGCCGGCAGCCCGCGTGTGCGGCGCGACCGAAAGAGTTGATCTGGTTAATCTGCTTTGGCGCACCTGCATTATGATTTTATCTACTGCGTATTGTTGTTCAATGTTGCTACTGTGTCTTCTCCTCCCCCACGCGCCGACCATTTGAATTTTTATTATTCTGGAGCTTCACCGGAATTCCCGCCACCGCGGTTCATCTTCCAATGGGTCGGAATGGAGCCAATTGCTCGTCGACTCCTCCCTCCTTCTTTGTGCTCCATCCAACTGGGGCCACACCCACCCCGATCCACCATGGATCCAGTCCGCGGCTTGCTTGGACAGCACCGGTCCGAAAAAGCAAGGCTACCGGTCCATAATCCATCTATTCGAGAGCTATTGGAAGTTTACAACGCCACCGCATGATGTAATACTATTCCCGGCAGACTCGGCGGCGATCAGAGCGATCGGCGGTCAAAACCGGCGGTGACCCTGCGAAGCTCCAGAAGCTCTCCTTCAACATTTTGTTTCTCATTCCCCGGCCAGCTTTGAAATAACTTCCCTTGCTCTCCCTCCCCTTTTTCTACCCTCTTCTCCTCCTTCTTCCTCTCCTCTCCTCCTTTCTCCTTCATCCTCCCATACACAATGGGTCCCCTCAAGCTTAACACCGCGAATTTGTCGCAAATCGTGGCGGCAGGTGCCGGCCGCGTTAAGGTCCCGACTTACCGGCGCGGTCCTGCCCTCAAGGAAGGAATTGTCCATGTCGGCGTGGGCGGTTTCCATCGCGCGCACCTGGCGGTCTACGTTGACCAGCTGATGCAGAACCATGGCGTGACAGACTACGCTATCTGCGGTGTTGGTCTCCAGCCCTTCGATTCCGCCATGCGTGATGCCCTGGGTTCCCAGGACAACCTCTACACCGTCATTGAACGTTCGGCCAAGGGCAGCTTTGCCAATGTCATTGGCAGCATCAATTCCTACCTCTTTGCTCCTGATGATCGCGAAGCCGTCATTGCTAAGATGGCGCACCCGGATACCCGCATCGTGTCTCTCACCATCACTGAGAGCGGCTACTACTACAACGAGAACACCCACGAGCTCCAGAGTGAGCACCCGGACATTCAGTTCGACTTGGACCCCGCCAACGAAAAGGCCCCCCGTACTACCTTCGGATTCCTCTACGCTGCCCTCGCCCGCCGTCACCAGCAAGGTCTCATGCCCTTCACCGTCATGTCCTGTGATAACATGCAGAAGAATGGTTCCATCACCCGTCACATGCTCGAGTCTTTCGCCCGTCTCCGCAACCCCGAAGTCGCTCAATGGATTACTGATAAAGGTGCTTTCCCCAACGCTATGGTCGACCGTATTACGCCTCAGACGTCTCCCGCCGATAAGGAGTCTCTCGCGAACACCATGGGTATCGAGGACTCCTGGCCTGTCGTCACCGAACCGTTCATGCAGTGGGTCATTGAGGATCAGTTCTCTGACGGTCGTCCACCCTTCGAGAAGGTCGGCGTTCAAGTGGTCAAGGACGTGCACGCGGTCGAGGAATTCGAGAAGCACAAGCTCCGTCTTCTTAACGGCAGTCACTCCGCCATTGGATACCCCGGTCAGATGGCAGGCTTCAACTACGTCCACGAGGTCTTGGAAAACCCGGATTTCAACAAGTTCGTCTGGCAGATGATGCAGGAAGAGGTCAAACCGTCCTTGCCTGAGATCCCCGGTGTCAACATCGATGAGTACTGCAAGACCCTCATGGAACGTTTCTCCAACCCCACCATCATGGACCAGCTGCCCCGTATCTGTCTCAACGCATCCGGCAAGATCCCCCAGTTCATCATGCCCTCGATTGCCGAGGCCATCTGGGTGAATGGCCCCCTCCGCCGTCTGGCCTTCGTCGCTGCTGCTTGGTTCCGCTACATCAATGGTGTTGATGACAAGGGTAACACCTTCGCCGTCGAAGACCCCATGCGTGAGGAGCTCCAGGCCAAGGCCCGTGCTGGTGGTACTAAGCCCTCCGAGCTGCTGAGCATCACGAGTCTGTTCGGTGACGATCTGCGTAACGACAAGCGCTTCATGCAGGAGATCACCAACGCTATGGAGGACATTGCTCGGGACGGCATCTTGAAGACGCTTCCCAAGTACATTAATTAGTCGCTTCCAAATCGAAGCGGTGTAATTAATCTCCTTGCCGGTGTTGAATTTTTCTACGATTAGGGAATGTTTGGGACTGCAAGCGATATTCATACTTTTTCTTGGTTTACATGTGTCATGCGGGTGCGGTTTTTACAAAAAGGGATGTTTAAGGATAGATAATGATAGATTGATCTAATGCTATGTTTTGGGATTCGGGCCACGTCATAAACTGACGGGCCAATGGTTATGGTACTCACTTCATTCTATTGACATTTAAATTCCCTCCCCCCGCCCCCCTGAGCTGATAGAGAATCATGAAGACACAATTTTCCGTAAACTCAAATCCTACTACAGATACTACAGAGGTGTATGCTATCCAGGTGACTCATCGTCCGAGTCACTCAAGGAATGCTACTATAGTAATGGCAACGTGTACTCTGTAGCTCTCAAGCAACGAGCTTCCCGACCGACCATCTACTTCCCGTTACCAACCACCACGAACAATCCCATCGCCTCAACAAACCTTACGCCGCAGTAGGTTGCTAGCTAACTAACGCCGTTACCACAATTCTCGTCCATCACTTAGGACCATAACCCTGGAATAGAATGAACCATCCTCAGCTCTTGACCGCCCAAGCTCATAGATAATTCTTGGCATCGACCACACGGTCGGTCGCCACCAACTCATGCAAGATGACCTGCACCCTTTGTCTTTATCATCTGCATAACAATCCTCCGGCATCAAGAACACGTAACCAATCCAAATCATCATTGCTTGGCTTGACGTATGTATGTGCGATATGTCTGACACGCCAGATTGCACCGACAGATTGAATAAAAACTTAGATATGACTTGCTGCAGAGTGCAGCAGTAAGCAGCAGATAGCTTAGAAGATACTAACTACTCATTCCTACCAACTCAAATCCAATTACCTGATTCAAGGCCACGTATCCCTCCATCCGGCTGACTCGCCAACAGTCAGTCAGCCAACCAGCCAGCCCCTTTCATCCCTTGCTAGATAGGCAGATGGCGATAGAATTAGCAAAGAATACAATGTAGAAACCCCTTCCGTGGTTGCCGAGATTTAGCATACTATGCCAAATACTACCACGGGACATGACCTACCTTATCTAGCCAGGGCTAAAGAGGCTCTACGTATCTATCATGGCTTAATCTACTTGACCAGGATAGAGCAGAGGCCAACAAAGACACGCCTCACCTCAAACAGTCTCCCTCACAGTATCCTGGAGAGAGGGTACCTAATAACCGCGCTAGCACCCACCTCTCCAGTGAACTAAGAACGGAGCAGTTCACATGGCTAGACCCACGGTCCCGTAGTTTGATTACCAGTGAATACTAGCATTAATACTGATACCCTGTGCCGTGTTCCGCTATTTACATACTTTTCAAGCCATTCAACCCTCCGCAATGCCGCTTTTCCAATCGATGAAGCCCAAAATCAGCTCGATTTTTGTCGTCAAGAAATCAAGCTTTGCGGTCATAACTTTAGTTATGCCATCTTATACTCAAGAACGGCAAGGTGGCCGAGTGGTTATGGCGTTGGTTTTAGGTTTACGAATCACCAATTCGAAAGAGCGTGGGTTCGAATCCCATCCTTGTCATTCCTTTTTGGTCGAAATTCACATGTACTTTTTGCCAAGATGCATCTATCATTCTCCAGTTTTTAGTGTTTGGAAGACCTCTTTTTTCCCAATTGCAGGCTTATTTCTAGGCTAAATACATACATAGTATTCGGTGTGTATGTTCGTCAATGTTAGGGCAGACTACGCAGGCGTCTGGGATGGAACAAAGCTGCTTCGCTGGATTGCGGTAGAGGATCATGGTCCTTGTGTGATTACTCAGGGGAAAACACTTAGCACTTTGTATTTTGTTTCGGAAGGGTAATATTTTGAGAAATAGAGTGAGTATTCACGCCATACTGTTCTCTGTTTGCACTTATCGATGAGTTCGGAGGTCGGGCCAGGAAGCATACAGCGCTCCGTGCTAACCATGTGTCATATCCACTAGCAACATGTAAAAGTAACATCGAGATTAGGCTATCATATCCATCGTGCGAACGCAATATTGTTGACCGCCTTTTCAAGGGAAAAATACAGCACTACCATCGTCCAGTAAGCTGTTGGCACACTGTTCGTTATGCCTGTCGATAGCTACTCCAGCTGTGCTTTGTCGATTCCGGTCAATCTTCTCACCCACAATTAGTGAAAGGGGATACTTTAGTATACCATCATCGGAGTTCATGGTGATAGAGTGCAAAGCATTCCACCCATCTTCATCGGTCGGATTTACATCCGCACTTTTCTCGATCAGCATCATTGCCACATAGAGATGGCCCAAGCAAGCTTAGTGTAGTGGTGTATATTCATTCTCCGAGTGATTGTCGATGTCTGCACCTTCAGCAATCAGCATCTTGGCTGTTTCTATTCGTTATCAAAGCTGGAGTGATATAGTGGTGTGTGCCCGCCCAGTCACGAAATCTGCGTCTAGATCAGCTTTCTCTTTGATCAGCACCTTTGTCACTTCCTTACGGCCATTCTCGCAGGCACAATGCAAAGGTGTTTCATTCAGTCCATTTTTCTATCTATCGTGGCAAGTTGATCAATCAGCGTCCTATCCACTTCCAGTCGACTATACTGGCAGGTATGAAACAAAACGGGTTGGGGACTGACCTTGGCATTATAACGGCCGGATACTTGGAGTAAGACAATATCCACCCAGTAAATGACCCTTCAGAGGCTTATTCAAGCGCGGGGCGCACCGTAATTAGAAGGTGTCTTGGTCTTCGTCTATGTGGACTGGAGCTTGTTTGCCTCTGACATGGCATGGTCACCACAAATAATGGGCTATTACAATGAGTATACTGCTGTGGTAGCACAAGATTTGGATACCAGAAAACCATATATATGCTCAACTGCTCTCCTCTTTGTCCCCTCTTCTTGTTATTGCAATCATCTATACCAACATCCTAAACAAGTCAAACACGGTTTAATTATTCAATTCCAGCCCTGAAAGATGCAGTTTCAGTTCTCCACCATTCTTCTGGCCCTCGGCCTTATCAGCTAGGCTGCTGCCCTTAACTGCTACGCCACCCTTGGCCTTTGCAATCAAGAGTGCGGCAACGGCGAGTACTCTTGCTCCGAGGCCTCTGGTGCTTCTGCTAGCACCCCATACTGCTGTGCCTAAACACATCTCCGAGGAATACTTTTGTCCTGATCTCACTCAGAAAACACGAACATACTCATGCGCATCCAGAACCTGCTTTTAATTAACTTTGCAACATAGTAGATAGGACTATTCTGCATGGGTAAATGCTTAATCGACGGATGTAAATAGGAATGAATGGAACCCTCTTTTCGACATGGCTTTAGCCTGTTGTATCTAGAACGATATCTATGATTGACAAGTTTCACTTAATACACCTTGTCATTTATAAGGAATTTATCTGCTTATTACTTTAGTGCCGTTCTGAAGGTGTCGTGGTATGGTCTATCTACGATTGGGAACCCGGATGACTCCCATACCATTTAGGTGGGACTAAACGTAGTGCAACCCGTCATTATATATAAATAATCATCCAACTCAGTGTTCAAGAAACCAACACATCTATACCTATCATCTTCTCGTCGTCATATTAGCATAGGAGTATTTGGGTCTTCTCTACACCGGTCAGGAATATTTTTGAGGTTACCAGACACCTGCTACGTCGGCGAACCACTTTGACAAACAGGACATACCTAATGTCATTGCAGCAGTTCTAAAGACTATTGGTTTATGTATCAAAATAAAAAGGCTAATATCAACAAGGCCTGCTGGCCCAATGGTAAGGCGCTTGACTACGGATCAAGAGATTGCAGGTTCGAATCCTGCGTAGGTCATTTCTTTTTGTCTTTTTTTTTTTCCTTTTGTTTTTCGAACCCGCTACCCATCATGAGCCGTTGATGTGTGCATGTGACCTTGAATGTATTTCTTACTGCGCCTTCCTTGTTTGCATGGTTGCGCTTCTCCGATTTATACACATCGCATATTATAATCACACCCCACTCGAAACCATGAGTGATATTAACCGGCTGCCAAACCACATAGTTGTTCTTATGCGCGAACCTACGGATCAAGATGTCAGATCAGCAAAACGGTCATTATTAGATTAGCATTCAGTGGAGTCGGTCACTATAAGTATACAAATACAAAAAATCCAGTCCTAATCATACACACATCAACTATACCACCCCCCGCATAATCCCCGGCTGAATCTCCTCCAGAATATCACTCAACTCGTCCCACACCCTTTTCTGCGTCCTCTTCCCCTCCTCACTCGTCACAAACGACGATAATTCCCGCGGACACACCACTCCATTCGACATATACTGTCCATGACTTTCCCTGCCCGCCGCCGCTGCCGCCACCAACGTCCTGCTCCCCACCTCCAACGTCCTCCCCAACAACCGCAACACAATCCTAACTACCACATTATCCATCTCCCTGGATAATTGCGACTGACAAAGTCCCGGATTCAGGCAATTCACCACAATATCATCATCCCCAATGCGATCCGCCAACTCCCTCGTCAACAACACATCCAATAACTTCGACGTGCGGTACCGCTCTGCCATCGTCCTATAGTACCGATCCGGCTCATCCAGCGCCTCAAACACACTCACCCCTTTCTCCGTGGGCGCATTTCTCTCGGGAAATTTCGTGAATGCATGGACCTCGCTCGCCACTATCGACAACACAGGAGTGTGTCTTTCTTCCCCCGTCTGTTGACATAGCCTTCTCGTCTCCCTCAACTTCGGCACCAGTAGCACCGCTAACAGAAACGTCGAAATGACATTGACCGTGATCGTGCGCTCATGACCTTCTGCCTTGGAATACTGAAACGTCGCGAGACCCGCGTTGCAGAGAAGGACATCAAGACGGTCGAGCGTAGTCGTTGCGCGCGTAGCAAAGGCGCGGACGGAGTCGTAGGAGGCCAGATCTAGGGGCCAGACTTCGATAGTTTGAGGGTCGCAGGTGGGATGGGCATTGAGGATCTCGGCACGGGCAGACTCACCGGCGGAGAGGTTGCGGACGGCGAGGATGAGTTTGCCGATGGGGCCGGAGGCGATGTGATGGGCTGCTGCTAGGCCAAGACCCGTGTTGGCGCCTGTTATGATGACGGTGCGGTTGTGAAAGGGCAAGGGAGGGGGTGGGAGAGAGGGGGTGACGAAGAGTTGATTGTAGAGAATTGTGGCCATGTCGATTGTTGTTTCGATGTGATAATTACTGATGGATTATTGGGGCAGAAGTGGATGGTATATAATGGTGTTATGGTGGTGATATTATGGAATTCTGGAAGACGCGAGCAATATGTAGATCATTACCAGCAACGGATATATCGGTCTTTGGGATATAGAGTGCGCAATAAAGTGCGGTGATAAGCCGGGCTTAAGGTCCCAGCAGGTCTTCATACACGTGGTGATGTCAAGAGTGGGGCGCGTTTGCTCAGAATCAAGGACAATCTTTGTGAACAGATATTAGATTGATAGGTTTGAAAAGAAAGATACTTTTAGCCTCGTTTGATACGATATCAGATGATCCTGCACCAGGCACCCGTTTTCTTACAACCGTCACGGGCAACCATGACTCACCTGCATAGACATGCGGCAGCTGTGTGTCTAGTCCTAATACAAATCTAGCTCGCAAATGACATCAATGAGTTATTGAGCCTCAGACTAGACCCTTTCAATGCCAGTTCAATAGCTTATTCTTTTCTGACGTATCCAACTTGCCACCTATGGTTATCTCGGCAAATCATTTTAACGATGTTGAATCTCCAGATAAGATCAATGCACATTTAGAAAATTGTAGAGTAGTTTAAAAATACCTCAGGACATCAAAAGCAACTTATATGGTCACCGTTATTGTTTCAAGACAATTAATGCATGCTTCGGGGCCAACTACCCCGTTGCGGTCGGAGTTGATGCGATCGGTTAGCCGAGGACTTTAACCGGCGGGGCAGAGAACACCGAGCTATTAAGCGGACAACCGAATTCAATTTAATGAACTTCAACTTCCTTTCATACTGATCGCAGCAAAAGTCCACACCGAAAAAGTCATAGTCGAGGTACCTATGCCTGCTATAGCCCGGAGCACTCCAAGCGGAATCATATACTAACATCCCATTCAGAATCATCACCACTATGCCCTTCGAAACCGCCATCACTTCTACCCTCCGGGGCTCTTCTACGGCCCTTGGTTTCTGGCTCACGTATGTTCATCCACAACCAGTACTCTTAGCATTTCGTACCAAGATGAACTAACCTCAATTCGATGAATTTAGCCTCCCCAGCGCAGCAGTTGCAAAAACGATTCTGCACGGCCAGCCTCCTAGCCCAGGCCGTTTCAGCTGGGTCCTAGTAGACGCCGAGCACGGATTAATCTCCGACCGCCACTACTATGAGGTTAGTAAATCTGCCATTTATCCAATGTAGTGCTTCGAATAACCGATGATAGCTTTTCAACGCCATTGGCTCTGAAGACGTAAGCCCGATTGTCCGGGTTCCCTGCGCAGAGGAATGGATGATCAAACGGGCGCTGGACGCCGGTGCGCACGGAGTCATGACCCCCATGTGCCATTCAGAAGTGCGTATCCAAATTCCCTAAAAGATTCTGGATCAAATCAGAGGGAATGCTTTTTAACGATTTGAAATAGGTTGAAGCCGCCAAAATCGTCCAATGGACCAAGTACCCTCCCCTTGGCACACGAGGCTACGGCCCCATGTTCGCGCCGCATGCATTCCCGGGCGTCGCTCCTGGGGAGGAATACGACGAGGGCTCGCAAACAGGCACGATTGTAGTTGTGCAGATTGAGTCGAAGGCTGGTGTTGAAAACGTAGAGAAGATCGCTGCTGTGGAAGGCGTCGATGTCCTGTTCATTGGACCCTTCGATTTGGCGAAGCAGATGGGTGTTACGAGGGGCGGGGAGGAGCATGAAGCGGCTATCCAGCGGATTTTGAAGGCTGCGCATGCAGCAGGGAAGAAGGCCGCTATCTTTTGTACGGATGGCAAGGACTCTCGGGTGCGCGCGGAACAGGGATTCGATATGATTTCGGTGATTACGGATGTGGGGGTTTTCAGGGCGGGGATGTTGAGTGAGTTAAGGACTGTTACGGAGGGGCGATAATTTGGGATCTGATAATGATAGAGATATAAATGTTTGACTACCAGGTTGAAGTAGAGATAGCTAATCATTTCATCATGGCTCTTGTATGTGATCGCTATCTTCTCACTATGTTAGAGTTCGGGTTGGGTGGTAGCTGTAGTTGAGGTCTTGGGCACATGGGAATTTACCACACGTAAGTGTCCTCTGGCATGTGGATTCCATCGTTGATGGATGCGCTCTTTTGGCTAGGATTAGCATTCTGCCTGTGTCTAGATCTGAAGCCGGAATACATACCATCGCTCTACCACCATCAACCAAGAGGTAGCCTCCGGTCATGTAGCCCCCGGCTTTGGAACTCAGCATCAGACACGGTCCGACAATCTCTTCGGGATATCCGGGGCGCCCTGTTTTATTAGAGCTGCGTTATGCAAGGTGTTGGGGAAGTCACGTACCAGCAGGAGCCCGCTTAGCAGCACCTTCTGAGACGGGATTGAGGTTTTCCGCGTTGCCAGTGGTATCAGCGAACGTCATTTCGCTAGGGAAAATTCCGGGACAGATGCAGTTAACGCGGACTTTCATACTAATGTCGTTGTTAGGAAGAGCACATTGGAATCAAAACCATCATAGTTCCAAGTCTGTTGCAGCAATGGATAAGCAGAGAATAGACACTTACGGAGAAAATCTACCAGCCAGGAGCTTCGATACGTGAAGAGCTTTGAGACAGAGTTAGCTAGCGTAGAAGGAACGAATGGCCGGCAATTAAGCGTACCTGCAGCCTAAATTGATTGTTAGCAATTTGACCCCGATGTACTGTTAGTCATGGAGGCACTTACTTTCGAAGCACCATAAGTCACCGTTCCCACGGTCCTATTTATATCTTAATTTCCAGCACTAGCTTTCCATAGGACATGTCAATAGCATAACTCACCTTTGGTTGGCAATCCCGGCCAAGGAAGCAATCACAATCACGCTGGGGTCCGAAGACTTTCGCAGCAGCGGAAGAAATCCCACAGTGGTGAAATAGACACCACTGATATTGACTGTCCACATCACACATTAGTCCTTTCCGATATTCTATAGGCAGAACTACACACCATTATTGGTTGTGGTAAAGGTTTCGCTTGATTTTATCAGCATTGCACCTCATCGAAGTGAAGAATGCGGCAACTTACTCGTCGACACTTTCCCACAGCCCCTTTTCAACAGCGTCGGCTATTCATCCATGAGCAAACAAGCAGCCACCAAACACACGGGAAAGGTGGCCATACGATCATTGGGGTTCCAAGGAGGATAGTCCGTCTTCCCAGGCAGACCAGCATTACTAATAAGCACATCAACCTGTGACACACCAGTTAGCACATCCTTCTGACCTCATCAAGTCCATCATCTGCGTACATGGTTTTCCTTCTGCTTGATTTGTTCAATAAGCTGGGCACAGCCGTCTTTTGTGCTCACATCGCCCTTGATGCTATAGAGATGTGTCATCAGTTTTCAGTCCAGCCTCAATGATGATTGTAGACCAGGGAAGCGACTAACGGTATAACTTGTCCACCGAGTGTCGCCCTTCCACGTAGTTCTTCCGCGGCCTTCTCAAGGACTTCAACACGACGTCCCGTGATGTAGACTTTGGCACCATTGGTAGAAAAGCCCTCCGCGATCGCTGCAATTGACTCAAAGTTAGATCCTAGACTCCAGAATTTATGATCCTAGCTTGCCTTTGCCGAGTCCGGTGCCTCCGCCGGTGATTACGACGATCTATGTCTCCATTAGACAAGGATACTAACGTGGATGGTTTATACGTACCTTGTCCTTAACGCCGAACAGGTTGGAAAGCTGGAGAGACATGGTTTCGCGGATGTATCGGATAGCTGTGGAGAAATTTGAGTAGCCTCGAAAGAGTCTATTGTGTTTACCTGGTTTTAGTTATGACCACGATAGATGGACAAAAGATAAATTGTTGAACCTTCCAGACAAGTGACGACGAGGGCGTGGTGAGCCGCGGGGTAGATAAGCGCCGGAGTTCAGCCGAAGCGTGCTCCAGCCAGTCATGGACGAGGTAGATTTTAGAAGTGACACATAAAAGTAGCACCGCAATCTTGAGTGAGCTCTAATTAAACAAACATTGATAGATCCAGTAGCAGATAATTTTACGATATTTTACTCTGGTGATAGTCCCCACATAGAGAACGAGCCTCCACTGTACGCGATATTGGAAAGAGAATTGTGTCATAAGTTCGTAATCTCTCATACATCGTAATAAATATCTACAAGACCATGAAAGAGACCGTAGCCAGGACAATAAGAAAGACTAAACCCTGCCTATCAGTCCCACCTATCATCGACAAACTGGCCGCCGACTCAGCAGTATGATTGGCAGACCCATTGACAGCAGTGGGTTCGTCGCCCAGCCCCAATGGCAAACCCTGATAACTAAACGTTAGATTCTGCGGAATGGATGTGTTGTAGCACTGGCCATTCGCAATGTCTAGATTCGTCAAGTCATCAGGATGCAAGAAGAACATGTAGTTCGACTGGTTGAGCTTCTCAAACCCAGACGTATCGTATGGGAATTTGTCTCCGGAGTCAGTGGCGCTAGTGTTCCGAAGAAAGATACATTGCACTTGGCCTGGAAAGTCGGTCGCCATTTCTGGGTAGTCACGCATGACGTCGCTGTTGCTGGTGTCGGCGATGAGGATAAACTTGCGCTGCGGAAATGTCTCAAACACCTTTTTCAGCAGAAATTTGCGGATGGACAAGGTGGCGGAGACGTCGCTAAAGTTGAGGGGACGGGTGTCGAAAGACCCGCCGGGGTAGTTGTCATAGATGAACTGCATGTAGTTTCGGGTGACTTGTTCGGGAGTCGTCGTCTGTAGTGTGGTGGTGAGTACGCAGCAACAATACAATAAGGGGCATTTGGTAGACTAACTAGGTAGTGAAAGTGCAGGTTGGGGAGGCTGATCGACCAATTGCGATAGATGTCCGGCATATTCTCCCATGGCCGGAAGGGACGTGCGAACGAGTTGAGTAATCCTTGCTCGGGCTCATAGATTTTGGTGACTCGTAGGATGTCATCGATGTCCGAAACGACAGTGAGCCCGGTCGGAGGCACAAGATAGGCTGTGCTGTTTCCGATCGTTGCGCCCTCCACGTGAACGTTAAGTCGTTGTATCGCCGAAGTTTCATTACCTGCCGTCAAGCCGTTACTGGAGATTGGAACGAAGGTGTCAAAGTCACCTTCGACTGTGGTGTTGTAGGGCAAAGTGAGATCTTGAATGCCGCCAGTGGTATTAGAGGATCCACCGCCGCCTGGCTGTCCGCTTGATCCCTGACTCGGTGCAGGCTCTAGGTAGATCGTGTTTACAGCCACGTCAGGTTGCTGGACGACTAATATTTCGGCTGTTAGATTCCGGGCCTGTTTCTGCTCGGATTCAGAAAGGTCGGATATGCTTGTATTGCCGAGGAATACATCAGCCAAATCATTCAGATCGGAGATGGAGGTGTTGGGCTGCTTGTAGACATTTCCGTGAAAGCGAACGTTCCAGCCCGAGTTGGTCCAGTTGGCATATGGGTCGATATTCAACACATTGGTGGGCAAGGCTGCCAACTCAGCGCTGTTCAAGCCCAAGGAGCTCACCACTGCATCACCAGTGGGGAAACCCTGAAAGTAGTTGGGCACGCCCGATGCGACCCAAGAGGGTAGGTCGGATCCCAGGCCAGAAAGGATGCTGTTGATATCAGAATCGACGTCACTCAAAATATTTCGACCAGCAACTCGAGAAGGGCGATGCTGAACCGGCGAAGGTGTGATAACGGGCTCGGGCGGAGCGACATTGTTGACGAACGCTGTGGGCGCTGGGATCGCGGAGACAACTGAAAGAAGAGCTGCCTGGAGCAAGGCCTGACAGGCAAAGCTTGACGTGCTCATTTTGATTCTCAGAGTGGTGGGGATAGTCCTTTTGGCGCAGGAATAAGAGTAACATGGCTGTCTCTATTGTTATATAACAACCAGAACACCCACCGACGTCATAGCCGTGCAGATCACTGGGACCCCAGGGCCACACAAGCGATTCACCCATTGGGTCTGGATGGCAAGACCCTGACCCGCAGTTAATTAAACATATTCGTGCGACAAACCAGATTTCTGGATCAGGGACAGATCAGGAACAGATCAGGGTCTTCATGCGTCATGGTCCTGGAGACGTGTCCACCACATGGAGCACTGCCGGTGCTCAACCCCGTTGCGTCATACTCAAGATGGTACGCGATTCCCAATATTCCACTGCTGTTCTCTAGAAATAGCCGTAATTTCCATGGAGACTACCGTTATATCGTGAATTACATACTGGCAAGAGATATGAAATTAATCACCTCCGTCGCATTAATATTATATAGGTAGCTCGTAATCGCATACCTTGTCTTGTGTCAGTTTAGTCCGACAGGTCCTTAATCACAGTACCTTGCAGCAGGTGGTAATCTGCGTGATCTTTTAAAACATTCGAATTCTTACCAAAATAAAATACGAAGAAAGTACATTTTAAGCCGGTTCGGATGCAGATCCGATCGATGGTTTGTCGCTCCAATGTCCACATCGCTCTCTTCCATGGCGATCGAAAGCCGGAGTCCAGCAGCGGAGAACTATTATTGGAGAGAAGGACGAGAAAGAAAAAACTCACCCTAAAATAATAGATTAGGAAATATGAAAAAAAAAAAAAAAAAAAAAAAAAAAAAAAAAAAAAAAAACAAGTATAACTTGACCAAAATTGGAATCTTGCTGGCTTCTATAAGCGTATGTGGTCGAGAAGGACACTATTTCTGTGCACGTTCTGAAATTGTCTCCCCGTTAGGAGCATTACAGTGGCATCAGGCGACAGTTCGGCGAAAAAGACACCCTCCGCAACCCTTCATGGGAACCTACCAGTCGCATACTCTGCCCTCGCTCGATTGTTGCCTAATAGATAGATTGTGTCTCATTTTTGTGATTCGCACTAACGATACTTTGTATGCTTATCTCCCAAGTCCAGGTAACCACGTTCTAGTCTCGAGCTGAGGCTGTGTCGGTTGCCGGCGGTGCCCCGATCTGCATGCATGTCAGCCACGACGGGCTGACGCTAAGTCGCTCACTTCATCCAGTACTTATATCGACGGCTATCTCGTCGTCTTACCATCAATTTTATTTTGTTCAACTCACCGAACTCACCCTTCTCCAGCGACACCAATACATTATGCCTTCTGCGGTGCAAGCCGTGGACTTCTCCTGGAGTGGTGTACTGATCTCCTCCACCCCATTAAATTTTTCGCGTACTAACCCGCTCTACCAGACTGCGCCAGGCTCAGTCCTGAACTTCGTCCCCTGCTACCAGGACTATCAGTGTGCACGACTTGAAGTTCCTCTAGACTGGTCAGCCAGTGCCACTGAAAATACAACGGCCACCTTGGCCGTCATAAAACTGCCTGCACAGGTAGACCCTGCCGACGAGCGTTACGGTGGCTCTATAATCGTGAACCCAGGTACGGGCAACAATGCCACTACCGCTACCATTCTGGCCCCCACCACGGTTGCTCACTACAAATACAGGTGGTCCTGGCGGGTCCGGCGTGCAGGAAATACTTGACCGAGGGAAAGAGATCCAGCGGATCGTAGACAGCTCCGATGATACACAGCACTCTCGCTATTTCGACATTGTCTCCTTTGACCCGCGTGGCGTGGGAAATACCCTCCCTCCCTTGACGTGCTTTCCTGATCTGCTGTCTACTTACCTCTGGAGTGAGGCTGTGCAGGCTCATGGCTTGGTAGGTAGCTCCGAGCATGCAGCTGATCATCTCTGGGCCCGCATGCAGGCTCTAGCCACATCGTGTACGGATCCCCATAAGGACGGTGCGGATATTGGTCCGTATATGAATACCTGGAGTACGGCACACGATCTGCATCAGATTGCTCAACTGCTCCAGCCGGACCCTCACGCAGATGTAAAGCTGCAATACTGGGGTTACTCATACGGGACTCTGCTAGGTGTCACTTATGCAAGTCTGTTCCCGAACCAAGTCCAACGCATGGTATTAGATGGGGTAGTAGATGCGTTAAGCTGGTACTCCGGTGATTTGTCGACATCATTACGGGACGCGGATCATATACTAGACAGTTTCTTCCGCTACTGTCATCGGGCAGGCCAGCCGAGATGTGCTTTTGCCAGCCCGTCCGCCAACGGAGAAGACAATGAAAACGCAATAAGCGACCTCCAACAGCGTTTCAAGAATATATTGTCTGATCTGAAAACGTCCCCCGTTTGGACCACTCATCCAAACCCAGACATAATCACCTATTCTGACGTGAGACGTCTCCTAAAACTCTCCTTGTACGCACCGGTCGACCTTTTCCCCACTCTCGCCACCATCCTAGCAGATCTCGAACAACGAAACGCAACGAACATAGCGGGCTGGAAAACCATGCTACGCGAGGAAATGCAGCCAACTCACTGCCTCGATCCAGATTGTCAATCTCATGCTCCGTGTCGCGAAGCATGTCAATACTCGTTTCGCGTTGAAGTGACTGCTGGTACCGTATGCTTGGACTTAAACCAGAAGCTACTGAACACCACCCGCGAGGAATACTGGGATGAGTATCTTCGGCCTTCCATTGAGAGCAGCCATTGGATGGGGGATACGTTTGCAGACTTTTTGATGCCGTGTGCTAGGTGGAATGGTCGGGGACCGGGGGACTTCACAGGTTCGTTCTAGTCTCATTGCACCTAGCTGCTCCTAAGTGCTAACCCGAAGAAGGACCTACCGGGGCTGAGGATACGTCCACACCTATACTCTTCGTCAGCAATACTCTGGACCCAGTGACTCCGCTTGGCGAGTAAGTCTCTCGCCTCCCTGCTATCTGTCTATATACATTCATCTACGGCCTACTAACGATAGTATCAGCGCCCACGCCATGTCCGCTCTGTTCAAAGAGTCTGTCGTATTAGAGCAGCAAGCTGAAGGTGTAAGTCCAATCCCTGCACATATGCTTTGCGACCATGTTTAGAGACGTATGTTCTGACCGAACTTCATTGTAGCATTGCTCCTTCGCTTCGCGTTCGGAGTGTACAGACAATTACATCCGCACGTATTTTCGAACTGGGGAGCTTCCAGCACCAGGCACGCGATGTGAGACAGATATACGCCCCTTTGGGGTGGAGGAAGTGTCAGATGGAATCTCCTCAACGGAGCTGGAAAGGACGGAGCTATGATCTATCTACCTTGGTATATTGGTATCCGGAGTTTCCCCTGTCAGTACTAATTAATGAGCAAGTAATTTCACCAAAATTATTAAAATTGGGTCTATGGGGAAGGTGCATTGTTTCTATCCGTTGTGAGGAGCTGATTTATGGTATACATATTTTCTGTCAGAATAACGGACTGAAAGCAATGCCAAAGGAAGAATATTTTCATACTGTGATCCCGCGTAGGTGAGGTCACGTGCAAACTGTCGGTCGCGTCCCATACGCCCCAGCACGTTGCAGTCTCTTTCTGCTGCTCAGCGCTGCTGAGTTAGGATATCACATTGACTGCTGAAGCTACCCAGCACTCTCTCTATAACCAATTGACACACCGAAAAGAAATCTGGCCCCCGGTATTCAACAGGTGCCAGATAAGTGGTCGGTCACCGGACGCGTCCCGCCAAGTTCAACACAGTGTCCAACCACGATTAATCATTCTCGAAACAGAAAACATCTCTCGACTGTATACTAGTCCGTCGACATGGCCCCGGGAGAATATCTATCGTTGCGCCACATACCGGAACTCGTAAAATTAGCCTCTTTACAACCTGCCAACCAAGCGGATTGTATTCCAACGACCTTGTCGGGCCCGCTCCCAGCGGTATCGCAGCGCTTGAGAGGCCGGCTCGATTTGCGGATATGGGACTGGGAAATTCAGCATGCGCTCAAGTGTCACGGCTTGGAGCATCTTCTTCGAAGCGATCTACCTCGTCCCGACAAAACCCACGCCAAATTTGCACTCTGGCGCCATTGGTCAATCACTGTCCGAAGATGGATGAATCGCCAGCTCTCTCGCAAAATGAAAGCGAAGTTGGGGGCCTCTCGCTGTGCTAAAAAATACGCGGATGATGCCTACAATGTCATCCGAGATCTTGGCTCGCACTACAACCACGCCATATGCAAGGCCACGTGGTTTAAGCTAATCAAGATGCGGCGGTCTCACTACACTACTGTGGCGCAATACATATCCAGTTTTCAGCGAGCATATATTGACGCGAAGGAGTTGGGGTGCGGTATTAGTCCCTACTGCGGGCTGCTTGAAATCCTTCGTGAACTCGAGTCAGATCTTTCGTATTGGGTCGCCACGGTGTTAATATTCTTGCCTGAAGATGCAGTGACCGATTAGACTGACGCTGATTTGTTCAAATCCTGTCGCATGGCAATAGAGCAAGATGATATGTTAAACCAAAGGAATCTTAGGGTTGCGAGAGGCGGGTGATTTCTTCCACTTGTGCCTTTCGAGAGAATAAAAACCCAAGATGAAAGACAGAGAATTTGTAGAGAAATAACGATGGATATCTGACCTCTTGGGGAATTATCACATTCCAGATCCTCACTTGCAATGGCCAATGCACCACAGGAATGAGCTAGCACAGTAGGGACTGGGCGTGTTTTAATATCCCCATCCCTATGCTCTGATATCTGATCTCATCTCTCTTTCGAACCAATCCTCACCCCACCAAAATCTTCAACGTGGAAACCAAGCACATACTCCAGAATGATCAACAATCAAGTCTTCCGTTGTTTCCGCCATTTGAATATGAAGATTAAATAGGTCGCCAACACCGCCATCGTGTAATTGAAAAGAATAAATCCAATGAAGATTCCGACGTTGTTACCACGTTGTGAATAACTCATGGCATATTGCTTGACCTATATTTCCAAGAGGACGTGTTAGCAATTCTTTTGTGGAAGGAAGAAGATGAACAGTAATGGAGGGAACAAAAACTAACATATTGATCTCCATCCGCATAGGCACAGTAGTGACACTCCTCAGTTGCGTCAGGGTTTACCAAGTAGCCCGTGGAATCCCCTGAAGCGAAGAAGTCAGCTGCATACGAGGCACATGTCTCCCCAGCGGGCACATGGAATGTGGTCAGTTCGGAGTCACGGCAGGTAATCTGCAGCGAATGCATCGCATTTGTACCAATGCCCTCAATGAAATAAAACAGGGGTGAGATATTATAGAACCAGCGCCATCCGCGAGGTGTCAGAGGTGGGGGTGAGAGAGGTCCATTGAAGGTATTTATCACCAGCCAGACGAAGCCAGTGGCCACCTGTGCGGCCAGCACGGTGGAAAATAATGCGGCCGTTAATTGAGCGATACTCGCGACGAACAATGAGTAGAGCTCGTACATGAGAAACGCATAACCAGCGCGCGTTGAGATGGTGAAGTATCCGACCATGTAGTACCAGAGAACCCAGTATACAAGCCCTCCCAATAGCGTAAATGGGATCTCCACGAGAAGCGCGCTGATGGTAAACACGCTCCAGTGGTATACACGTGACTCATTCTCTCGTGCCAGGAATTGATCGCGCAGGAGGATGAAGCGAGGTTCGATCTGGAGGCTGAGCACGGGTCCGGTGATCACTCCGACGAAGATAGAAAACATGCGTCCGCGGGAGTCGGTGAGATCGTTGGACAGCTGAAGGAAGGTGAGCCCGTTCATCAGCCCCATCCAGATGTTAAGCTGTATCTTGCCCAGCACGTAGTCTGAGTCGCGCCAGTAGTTCGTGAAAGCTCGTTGGGTGACCACTCGAATCTGCTCGAGATAGGAGGCCGCATATGCTCGATCAGAACCTGACGACAACAAAGTACTCCCTTCCTGTGGCTGAAGAAAGTGCTGAAGCTGCTTTTGGGTGGAGACATACTCGGGCGACTGCTGCCAAGTCTATCATGTTCAGGAGGTGAGAAATGAACTGCGTAAAATCTGGGTAATCCGTTGAGGTGGGGATGAGAAATCATACCTTGAACCAGTCTATGTCGGGCTCCGCACTGACTTCCAGAATGTAGTCCGCCGGATTCTCTGTTTCCCGGCAGCATCGCGTATACCGAGAGAAGTAATCGATTATAGTCTGGCACTGAGACCCTAACGGACCGAAATAAATGGTTTTCCCACCTGGAATCAGCAGAAGCAAATTATCAAACTGTTCGATCATCTGCGCAGAGGGTTGATGAATCGTGCAGAGAATGGTCTGCCCGGCATCGGATAGTCTGCGCATCAGTTGCACGATGGAGAGTGCTGAATTGCCATCCAACCCGGATGTCGGCTCGTCAAGGAAAAGAACAATGTCTGGCTTTGCAGCTAACTCAACCCCTATGCTGACCCGCTTGCGCTGTTCGAGGTTCAATCCTGCCCCTGGTACCCCGATAATTGCTTCGGCAATATCTTCTATTTCTAGAAGCCGGATGAGAAACTCCACGTGATGCATCTTCTCTTCCCAGGCGACAGCTTCTGAGCGGCGCATGCGTGCGCTCAGCTGGAGTGCTTCGCGCACTGTGGACGATGCTAGATGGATATCATTCTGGTGAACGAATCCTGTACGCCGCCCCATTGACGCCGGAAGTGTCTGCCCATTCAGATAGAGTCCGCCAGATATGCGGCCAATTTGGATACGCTGAGCTAGGGTATCAAGGAGCGTAGTCTACACGTACAGCAGGTCTGTCAGGCTTGGGGGTTTTTTTTTTTTTACAGCAAATGACTTCTGAAAATCGGCACGACTTACCTTGCCAGCCCCCGACATCCCCATCAACGCAGTCATCTTTCCTGGTTGAAGCCATCCTGTACCATAGAGCCTTGTAAGACATATACTTTATAAAGGACAGAGGATTAGGTCTTACCTGAAACTTGGTGAAGCAAGTTCCTTCCATCATCAAGTTCAAGTGACAATTCATGCCAAGCGAACACATTTTGAGCGTTGTTCAGACAGCCAATAGTAGGGATCTCACAGTTGGAGATGTGTCTGAGGTCTCTGGAGTCAGTGACATACGGTGGCTTCTCAATGTCCGTAGGACGGGTGGGTGAGGCGTTCGCCCACGATGGCAGCTTGCGGTAAAACACCGTTGCCATTTGCTCAGATGCATGACGAAATCGCTCCATTCCAATTCTAAAAAATAACTAGAGTCATTTTATGGCTGAGTATGGATATTCTCGGGAAAAGAAACTTACGTTACGACAATTGAAAAGAAGACGAAGAAAGCTGCATTTATTGCAACATTTCGCCACAAGTGGAAGTAGTTGAATCCATACTCGACCATCAGGTAGAATCTTCCGGAAAGATTCAATTGGCCTGCTACCGACCCAGACACTGCACAGGCCTGAAGACTCGTTTCATTGTATGATGCTCCCCGAGGGACGATGTTCTGCAGGCTGCATGCATATAAATTGCTCCCAATCTCGTTGAGGGCGATGGACTCGAAGATATAGTACATGGGCTATACAAATATTGAGGAGGTTAGCACATTCTGTATGGAAGACTTACGATGACCTTCTGTTTTCAACTTACATCAAGGTAGCGGATCCATGATAGCCAGACCTTCATTCCTGGAGGTGTGATATAAAAGCCCGTGTAGATGATCAGCACATTGAGTAAGAGCCCAACGGGGAGAATGGCCCGAGTGATGGAATTTGTGAAGACAGCTATGGCTCGAAACATAACACTCAGTGTCATTAGGCCCATGTAGAGGCACACCAGCCATGTGAAAAAATTCCCCGCCGTACGCTGGAAGCCAATCATCCAGTAGATGGGAAGCGAGTACAAGATGAAGATAAACTTCCAGGGTACGTCGGCGAGGATCTGACCGAGTGCGTAGGCCGCGGGTCGGTAGAATCGCAACGCCTTCTGCTTGAGCAATATCGGGCGTTGGACAAAGGTATTGCCAAATTCAGCAGAAGCCTGCAACCCCATGATCAAAACACAGAAAAAGAGGGCCGATGCGCGTGTATAAAGCCCTTCTGTCACGGCTCTCTGATTTCGGAACAGAGTGCCTAGAAGCAGAGCTTGGATGATTGTCCCAGCCGCCTCAGCAATCCAGGCAGCCCGATCAGTCAAAAAAATCTGATAATGACGAACTGTACACTCATATACCTGACGGTACATGGGCAAAGCGTATTCTGATGCTCTAGAATCTTTACTTGTTGCCGACTGAGGTGGCTCAACAGCCTCACGCACCGTCTGCTGGTAGAAGCTGCTTTCTCTGAACCGGGCCTCAAAATCAGCAGGCTGAACGGGCACCGGCCTCTGGAGATCGTTCCGAGCTTGCCTACCTGCCGGAGGCCCCGAAATAGATGCCAGAAAGTCGGAAACCGAGATCCTTGGAGAGCAATAAAACCCAAGGGACTCAAAGTAGGTTTTTGCTGATGACGCCGGGCCATAGTAGGCGACGTGGCCGTCGTTCAGAACTAAGATTTTATCAAACATTGAAACTGCAACATCGCTAGCTTGATATAAAGACATGGCGGTCATGCATCGACTGCGGGTGGTGTATTTGCGCATGGTAGTGAGAAAGCGGATGGCAGTTGATGAGTCCAACCCTCGAGTAGGATTGTCAAAGCAGAACAGACTAAGGGAAATGATCAGCTTATATTGTCTGTTGTGAGAAGTGCTGGATGAGTAATTTACCTTGCACGCGTGCAGAGAGCCTCAGCGAGGGAGACACGACGACGCTGGCCGCCGCTGACTCCACGAAGATGGTCGGTTCCGATTCGGACTTGAGCTGCATGAGCAAGACCCATCAGCTGCAGAAGGCTTTGTAGGTCCTCTTCAATTCTGGAGGCTCTATCCGGATCAGAGTTTGAATGCCGGGCATTGAGAGCAAATCTAAGCGTGGTGCTGACAGTTAAAGTTGGAAAGTGGATGTCATCTTCCCCTGTTAACGTGCATAGCCATCTTAGCCAGTGCTTGTTTCAATTGGGGTGTGGGAAACTCTCATACCAACGAAGGCTACCTGGTTGGGCCTATTTCGCCTTGCTGTCGAGGCATCCATTGAGCCATACCAGACGTCACCCTCCATTCTCAGATACTCGTCTCTCATGTTCGACAAGGCTTTCAGCACGGTGGTGCATCCACTGCCCGGGCGTCCGACAATCATCAACATTTCTCCTTCGCGGATTGTCCCAGTCAGACGCTGCAGAATGGGTCGAGATGGGATTCCCTTTCGGGACAACCAGGTTGCCGGGTTGGCGAGCCTTGTTAGACGTCGTAGAGTTTCGGGAACATCGGACATCCGTTGGCGCTGGTAAAGTCAGTGTTATGGAAACTCTTGTCATCTTCATGTGTCGGAGACACACCCCAACTCCTGCCCCTATGACTGACAAATCCTTGAATATGATGCCATCCAAGCGCTCTGGTTCACTGGTAGTCTGGTGATCAAGAAAATTGGCAACCAGTTGATCGATCTCTGCATCCTGATGTGTCTCTTGACTTCCATTGTACTCATTATTTTCGCAGCCCAATGTCTCCATGATACACGTATCAAGCTGGTAAGATGCTTAGCTACGCTCTATAGTCTTCTCTTGGGCGCGATTTTGCTAGGACTTTAAAGGAGCTCCAAAGAAGCCTTCAAGCACCGAAGCATAGGAGAATGTGCCGGATTACCAAATGGGGTAATGGTTGCTCCTTATGGTTAGACCAAGGGCCAGCTCCACTCTCAGCGGAGTTGGCCGACCTGGTGGACAGCATTGGGAAGTAGAGATAAATAGCAGACACGAAGGCGTAGGAAAAGGACAAAATGAAGAATCCTTATTTGTATCACCCACTCAAAACAAATCAAAAGTGTTTTCGCAAGAACCATGTCAGGCTCCCAGGTTGATCCCGATCAGTTCACTCGTGCGGGCTGCATAACGCGGAAATACTACCGCGATGTCTATTCCACCATCGATCCATCACGGCCAGAGCTATCCCAAAAAGATAGAGTAACCATCGTCACGGGCGCAGGAAAAGGAATTGGTCGAGTGAGAACAGGCCCGACCCCTTTACAGATGCAATCACGACTGACCTCCCTGATACTCCAGGCTATTGCGCGAGCTCACGCCCAGTCTGGCGTCAAAGGGCTAGTCCTGATGACTCAGTCGGCTCAGTCGGCTGAAGAGACGAAAGCAGTCTTGCAAGCCGAATTCCCCTCTGTTGATGTGCTGGCTCTGCCCACGGACATCACCAATGAGAAGGAAATAGTGCAGACTTTCGACACTATCAGGAACCACTTTGGCATCGCTCACAATTTGATCAACAACGCCGGTGTTTTTGCCTCGATAGCGCCCGTTGCCCAATCAGACTCCAACACCTGGTGGAAGGACTTTGAGGTCAACGTACGGGGGACATACCTTGTCACCGCGGCATACCTGCGTCTGATCGCCGCTGAGAGCGCTGATTTCCAGCCCACTGTAGTCAACCTCATTTCCACGATTGGTCTGACGCCGCCTGGACTGAGCAGTTACTTTATCAGTAAACTGGCTGTGGCCAAGTTCACCGAGTTCGTCACAGCCGAGAACCCCCAGGTTGCCACCTACAGTCTCTCTCCGGGTATCGTACAAACCAGCATGACCCTGGATTCCTTCAAGCCATTTGCTAAAGACACTGGTATGTTCACAAACATCACAACTGGCAAGTCAGAAGCCCTTAGGCTAACCAGGGCAAATTTCCTTGGTCTGTAATAGCGGAACTCCCAGGTGCCGTGACCGTCTACTTGGCCGTGAAACGGCCACAATACCTTAATGGACGTCACCTATCCTCCAATTGGGATTTGGCAGAGCTTGAAGATAGGAAAACTGAGTTGTCCTCATCAGATATGCTGAAAGTGGGTCAATTCATCTGATGGGCTCTCACTACAACCCTCTGGTGGGGAGTTACTTTTACGCAACGGCGTCGCGTTCTCGTTGTCTATAAATGAAACTAGCAGTCTCTTCTATTGGTCTATCCAGATGTGATAGGCTATTATATATCTTGTAGTAGGCATTTGAAACTAAGTTCTATCCGATTTGCGCACATGCATATGTAACGAGGACGATAGTGGTTGTAAGGTTCAAAAATTAGCTTCCAAATGTATCTCAGGCACGTCCATCAACATATCACTGATTTCATGACAGTAACCAGACCAAATATTAGGGTCAACAGTATCTGCAAATGACCACAAAGCATTCTCCTCGGATGCGAATGGCAAAGATTGCTGGTTCTCTGCTTCCATTTGTTCGTCGGTCTGCACCCTCCGATAATCGTAGCGATCACTGAACGCTGATGATTGAGAACTCAACAACTCTATGAGGGCACTAACTCTCCCTAGTAGATACCGTGTCCGTTGAGCCGCCCGGGATGCAATTGGATTATCTGTCCCCGCCCCCTCAAATATCGGAAGTGATCGCTCAACATGTTGCTGAGCAAGTGGGAACCAGTAGCATAGGGGGTAGGCCAGCATAAACCCTACAAGGGTCAGAACGGCATTCCACACGTACTGGTAAATTTCTGGACATCCATAAAGAGCATCATTATAAAGCATGCGAGTGTGTATGAGGTCCGTGACGGTTAGCGCGTGTTGTAGTGCCGTGGTAGCATGTATATCGGCTTGTGGGCTCCGTTGCGGAACTAAGCCGCGACTTGGGAATTGGATAAATGGTCGGTGAGCCCAGAGTATGATGTCATGGTATCGAAGCTCTAGAAGCGACTTTTGTAAGGTGAGCGCTGGGGCCTCATGAAACGACAGTCTTGCATTCTGATCATGTATCAGCCGACTCATGGAAGAGGTAACCTCGTCTGGTTGATAAACATTACATATAAGTGTAATGTTGGTGTATAGGTTCGCGTCCAAAATTTGATCTCTCCATCGGTACAGGCCCTTGATTTCCCGCGACAAAAAGTGCGCATGGCGCTCGATTTGATTATATGGATCTATTGTCCCTGACGCATCACGCACATGACGCTCCAGATCCTCGGCCATCTTCCTTGCCGCAACAATGAGCGATATCGATGCCGTATGGAATCCGAGCTCTGGGGTATGCCAAGGATCCTGCGGGTTTAAAGGTGGCGTGTTGAATATCGCATCATCTAGAGAGATAGCCATAGGCTTTCCCAGAAGTCGTGAACAATGGAAGTCGAGGTGTACCAATGTCCACCAAACATGACGACGCGTCTCAACCTCATGTGTGGTCGCACGAGTTACCAGGGGGTGCTGTAAGTCTAGCGACTGTGCGAGTCGCATCGCCACGCCAATAATATTATATGCTGCTTGGTGCTCTCCAGAATTCTGTAGAAAGGCGGCCATGAAGAGATGCCGCTGCACGTCTAGTAAAGAAGGCTCTGCGTACAAGAGATAGTCGCTGTTCGTCCCAAGAGCCCTTTGGAAAAAAGCAACATATAGACTAGCTAGCGAAGGGGCTTGATGGGAATGCTCCCCTGCGTGTGATAATACTGAGCCCATTTGAATGCTTAGCAAGCGGTTTTGAAGCCCAGCATAATGGATTGATTGTAAGCAGTAGGCCATCAGCGCTTGCCGCAATGGCTCAGACTTTTGACCCGACGTGATCGTCAAGTCTTCCGGGCTAATAATCGGCATTACAGGATGATACCGAGTCCAGAAGACATCAAATAGCGATTTTTCAAGTTTCTGTAAGCTTTCCAGCGTCAGATGTGTCACATCCGACTCGGTTGTCCTCAGCAAGTTTGGTGAGGAATACTGAGCGTCTGAAGGAGCCGGGTCAATAGGTTGAGGAGATGGGCGTGCTGACATCTGCGATACCATAGAGCAGAAATTATTCATTCGAGAGATAAAGCCAGCAAATGAATCCAACTGCGGGGGCGGAGGAGCGATGGCAGCATGGTTTGTGGATAGACTCCGTTGTGAACTGGATCTTGGCCTCACTTGTTGGTTGGGGCCTTCTTGAATCGGGGTAGATGGCGGCGCAGACTGGGCTGGCCGGGGACTGCGTAGAGCAGCCGGCTGCAGTTTCCGGGTGCCAGAAGGTGATCTTGAGTGCTGGGTCGGCTTGCTGCATTGGATCTTGTTGGCACGACACTGGCCACAGGGTAATCCACCATCGCAGCGAACCCGGTGCTGCCGGCAAAACTCGCATGCTCGGCGCACTTTCTTCCGTTTGACCAGTGGTGTTGATCGTAAAGAAACAACGTTGTAAAGCATTCCGGAGTGAGTGATAGATGAAAGTGAGGAGGGTGGAGTGGTAGATAGTAGTGTGGATGGAGTTCGGAGAATTCAGGATCACTACTATTATTTACTCCGTCTACTCACCTTACTACTATAGTGCTAGGTAGTAGTACTAAGTGAAACCTCAGTCACCTGACTCCACCGTCCCGGAAGATCAAACCAATAGGATGCTGAGGAAGAGGTAGCCAATCAGACTAGCTGGAGTAACTTGACAGTATGTAGACCCGACGGAGTACGAGCATGTCCATGATTTATGTATCCCGAGTATCTTAGTGATAGGTTCCAGTAGTTTGACTGGGCATCCTATCTTCCCATAGTCCAATTGTTTTACCCACTAGACGGGGTCTTTCGACAGTGTATAAAGTACCGATCTACCAAAAATCTTTAGATGCCACGAGTCCGAACTACAGCCATGGCTCTATGTCCAGGTCAATGGCGATACTTTAAAAACAAAGACTGCAGTAACAGTTTATCTTTAGTATCCGAGTATAAGTCGATCCCCCAGTCCCTTCTAATTGTCTCAATTCTCTGATCACATCGATATGAGGTTTGGTCTTGGGACTTGCCGTCTTTGAGTACAAAGAGGCCTTTTCGCTCGACCTCCCTTCATGCATCTTTTTAGGAGCTTGCTGTGCCTGGCTACTATCGTGATATGGGCTAATAGATGCCTGATGCACCATATATTTGCGTGGGCTAAGCCAGGAGATGATAGTCCTTGGGCTTGGGAGTTGAATAGCCACTCGAAAGAGCGACAGGGTCTTCGGCATCATGGCTAGCAGTGCCTATATGTTGAATTTGTGCAAAGACTGGTGGATACCACACCGAAAGAAGGGCAGTGCTACTATTGCAACGTTGCCTACTCTCAAGCACCAATTTGTCGATCCGATAAAGGCTATTGGCGGTAAGGCTCGCGTTATGAGTTTGGAGGCATACCCCCATCTCATATGTACAACGAAGCATCATATCTGTGCAATATGCAGACTTACTAACCCAATGACAACTCAAAATCACATCTTCGTGACGTACGACAGGCGTCGCGCTCGCATTACTTAGCATAGGCTGACTCAAAGAACTCTAATACGTTTGATGGGTGTGACCAGTCCTTTTCCAATGGCTGATCAGTCAGATAGTCCGTATATGTGGATTTGCGACACGTCACCTTGTTGATATAGGCGCGTGTCATCCATAATATTGACTGAGATTTAACTAATGTCTACCCCACTAGCACTGTCAGTTGAATATCCAGATTCTAAAATGGATACCAATATACAAGCAATCCCTGGACTAGAGGAGGCTTTTGCTGTGAGGCCGGCCTCGGATGATAACGATGTGAGATCATCGCAGTCTAAGCGCTCAATCGCGACCATTCTAACCAAGCCTTCCTTTTATAGGACATCTTCACTAATGTAAATCCTCTATGGTGTCCGCTCGGACTGAATGCCGTATTTGGGGGCGTCCTCATGTCTCAAGCCCTTAACGCGGTAATGCAGCGAGCGTCACCTTCCTTTGTCGTCCACAGCATGCATTGCCATTTTATCAAGGCCACCCGGGTTGGGACCCCTGTTTCTTATCATGTGAGCCGAGTGAGTCAGGGCAAAGCATCCAGTGTGTACACTATATCTGCAAGGCAAAATGACCACGATGTCTTCATCTCAACCCTGAGCTTTAGACGGGCTTCAGCCCCAGTTGGGAATGTCTTGAAACATGCAGTTCCAAAGCCTAAATTAGTTTTTGATGACGAGACGCAACCCCATCGCTATGGTGAAGGCACTGCGAAATCTCTGTTTGAGTTCAAAATGGCAACGGCTACCATCGGTAAGCCCGAGAAACGATAAATATTTGACTTAGTGCTAACTTGTATAATCAGAAAAAGGTGATTCCAATCCCGAGACCAAGTACTTTAGACGCATTGTTCGCGCACAAAGTAGCTTGGCTAGACCAAGTGGCAGCAACGAGCATTTGCTTGCCCTGGTATGTATGACAGATACTTATACTGCTGGAACGGTCGGGAGAGCCCACGGTATACCAGTATATACTAGATTCAACGCCGGTTTGAAGGACGGAAATCCTCGAGCACAGGTGGCCTTCAAGGCACTGTCCACCGTGGCTCATACCCTTCACTTTCACAACGTGGATCATGTCTGCGTCAACCACTGGATGACAGAAGAGCTGCATTGCCCTTGGGCTGGACACGAACGTGGCCTGGTAATATCACGCGTATGGTCATCAGATGGAATCTTACTTGCAACTTGCTCTCAAGAGGTGAGCAAGAAGCTGCTTTACTAGTCGCGATGTTCATTTTTCCCACTTTCAACTAACTTAAAGGTGCAGGTTCTAGTTCGACTCCCTCAGGACAATATCCCAGCAAGGCTGTAATGAGCATACCTCAATGTCCACTTAATTTGTACATTTTAATGCAAGTTATTCCTGGTCGATAAAATTCTGTCTCTTTACGTGCCTCCAGCACGTTCAGGTGGCCAGCATACTAATAATAGTGGCGGTGCGGCTAACTTGACGACCGGCAGCACAATCGTTATCGGCACATGCTAGTTGAAGATCACCGTTATTTGTGTTCCTGTAAGCAGCTTTGCATCCTGGCAATTAGATTCGCATGTAATGCGATGAACAAATAACTGCAAATCTTTTGTCGAGAACTAAGGGGGGGAATGGTATCCCAGCATGACCTGCACCCCAGCTAAGAAAAGAAAAGATGTCAATACTGCGCTACTTGAGCATAGCTAGCGAGTTCCCAAATGGTTCACTTCGGCCAATGGTGCTTCGATCCCTCCAACGGTGCTCTCATCAGGGCTTTTCGGGTTGAATCTGACGGTCTGAATATCTCTGGAAAAGGCGGAAGTTAGATATATTACACTGCAGTAAATGTCCTTCTGGTATACTACATGATACTATTGTACTTGCACTACTCCATCAGCATATGTTCATCTTCATTCGAGTCATCGGTTGATTGCAGGCCCCGACCGCGCAGCAATTCTATATGAGAAACATCGTTTATTTCTTGACACTGTTTCTCGCCACAAGAGTTGCCAGTATGCTTTGAACAAGCTCCCTCCACAGAGACATATATTGCTCAATGGAGCCGGAAAGCAGCCAACCATGCCGAACAGGGAGATCAACATCATCCATTGGAAGTGTAAACCAGAACAACATTTAATCTGACCTCACGCCCAGCTTTACTGCCTTAGACATACCTTAGTGCCGTTTCGAGAGCACAGAGTCAAGGTGAGTGCTTCCTCCCATGGGCCAGAATCCCTGCTCTCCAGAGTTGAGAAATGCTGTGCCAGACGGACAGTAACATATGCGGCTTCGGTCAAGGCATATTGTTGGCCAATGCAGATCCGAGGACCACCGTTAAACGGCAAGTATTCCCATCCTGGGCGCAGATCTGCCCATCGCTCCGGACGAAACTCATTTGCGTCGGGTCCATACAGATCTTGACGACGGTGCATTGCCCATACGCTGTAGAACACGATAGTACCCTTACGCACGAAAACAGGGGATCTCCCGGCGGAACCGCCACCGACTGGCAGCAAAGTATTGACCAGTGCTTTACGAGAATTTACTGGGACGACGGGATGAAAACGAAGCGCTATACACAGAACGTTAAATAAATCATGAGCCCTGCCAGTTGATGACAATGCATGTTTTGGAAACTTACACTCATTCAGACAGTGTTTAAGGTATGTCAGATTCCGAAGCTGCTGGTATGTGGGTGTGCGACCGTTAAGAGTCGCGACCTCCTCACGCAGCTTCTTCCAGATTTTCGGGCTCCGCGCAAGCATAAAGAACAAATTGCTCAGTAGTGATGCGGTAGTATCACGGCCGGCAAGGAGAATGTTCATGAGCTCATCACGGATGCGGTCGCGGTCACCTGTCTGTTCGGCCAAACCCTGTAAGAACAAATAGCGGGTATGCCTTCCCTCATCGTTCGAGCCCTTCTTGGCATAGTCTTCACGGTACTTGAGCGCCTTATCGATGAACTGCTCCACCAGGCTATGACAGATACGGTTGGATCGCGTCGCCTTGTGGTCGGGAATAACCCGCCCCAAGAAACCGAGACGAGTGTTCCTAGCAATAGCATGCTGCGCGTAGTTGAAAGCTGAAGCAAAATCATTCTCACTAGGCATCACACCAGACAGACGCTGATTCAAGCTTTGGACACTGTGACCAAAGAGAAATTCAGTGGCGGAATCAAGCGTGTAGCAGAAGAAGAGATCTTGCAGGTCCACGGGTGAGCCATCTGTTGGAATCAACGCCAACAGACCTTGCATCAATTCTTCAAGCTTCTCTAAATCCGCAATCTGGTCCTTGACGAAATTGGGACGCACCATGGCGCGGGATTGAGCCCAGTGCTCGCCATCGGAGGTAAAAATTCCATGGCCCAATAGCGGACCGAAGGTCGCGATACGACTTCCCAGACCATAATCTCTGAAATTGAGGGATAAGACAGCTTTTAGATTCGCCGGTTCACAGGTTATAATCAAGGGGGTTGTGAATCGCTTTACACGGAATGTATTTCCGTACTGTTGGAACCGGTGTTGGATGAGTTTGAGGAGACGGTGGGATTTCGCTGCTTGGATGTTCTCCAGAAGCACATCGATGCCGAAAAGAGGATCTTTCGAGGCTGGCAATACAGGCTCACAACCATGTACCCTAGCAAACTGTGACTGTATCCATATACATCGCAATTTTCTGATCACACAAAAGAAGAAAAAAACAGCAGCTCCGACAGCTATCGTCAAGATATGGGTGTTGTTGCTCTCCATAATTTTATCGGCTTGATAGTCGATCGCAAAGGCGCTGACATTTATTATATCAAACCTGGTCGGACCGCAAAGCCGCAAGGGCATTCCACATTCCTGAGTGAATAAAGGGAAGAGCTGAGACAAGCATGCACACGTGAGAACAGTAATCAAGGGTTCTGGCAGAAGGCAAAACTTGG